CTACAACGAAAGCACAGAGATGTGTGAGCCAGTGCCGAAATCCAAAGTCCAGGCAGCCAAAGTCAGAAATCTGTAGACTCAAGCTGGTAAAGTAACAGAGTCAGATCAGGAGCAAACAAGTGTTGGATTTGAGTCAGATAACAATTTTGTCTGCTGCAAAAGAGATTCACAACACTGAAAACTTTATATCTTAAGGTCTCTGCTGCTGCTTGATTAATGAGTATTTTGAGATAATATACCAGACCTTTGATACACTCTACCTGATGCTTTAAATGTGTGGGTATTAGAGGTGTGCAAATCCATTCTGTTTTCGTTTTGAATTTTGGATGCCCCCCTCCCAATTCTGTTTTTGTGAAAATTCTGGGAGATTAGGAGGAGGGCCGTTTGGATTTGTAATTCGGAACCCTGAGTTCCATTTCCATTTTGGGAAGAATCTTCCTGAAAACAGAATGGGGGGAGGGGGGCACAAAAAATTCTAAATCAAAACAGAATGGATTCTGTGCCATTTTGCACATCTCTTGTGGGCATGTTGAACTCTTCTTTAGCTTGCTAAGATGTGTTTGCTTGAGCTTTCTCAAGAGCATCATGCCCAGACTGCTGGGGAGTGTCTGCTTCTGCTGAAGGCTCATTTTCAACTGTGGTTGAGCTAGGCAGTGCAGACTCCTGGGATCTGCTGGCCTCCATGTCCTCTGCTGGTCCTCTAGCAACTCCTTGTCTCCACTATCTGAGGTGGCTATGACATCACCCCCAAGGTTCTCCTCCCATACTAGACCAGAGCACAGTGTTGTAATTAAAATGCTAGAAAATTTGACAGAATCGGTAGTTATAAAAACCCCAACAGCAACAAAAACAACAACATGAGCTTGTAACAAGTACAGATGAAGCCACGTGATGCGAAGCATTATTGTAATTGGGACATCGAGATCACATGCACACTATAAGATACAAAAAATAAATTAGCATAGAGTTTTAACCTTGTAGGTATATTGAAGTATGCGTAATCTAATTTTTTCTCTAATTATATTTAAGTACAGGGATCTTTTATATAAAAACAAATCTTGCTGAAACTTTTCACAAAAACTTTATAGACGGTCATTAAGGTCCGTTTTGGTGGTGTCAACTTGTGATGCCACTGAACAACATGCAATACTCCTGTTCCCAGCTCAGGGCACAGCATCATCCAGGAGACTAATACTGTATGTAGTCTTACCCCTTGTTCTCATTAGTACAAGACATAGCACACACCCCCCCTGCAAAAACAAAAAAAGAACATAAGTCCAGCCTAAGCAACATATAATGATCTTGGAAGCTCCTTTGTGTTGTGGTCTGTGTAAAGGAGACATACAGTATAAGATCTGGTAAAGAGAGGAGTGTTTGACAAATAGGAAAGGACACAGGCAGCAAGTGAAGCCCACATTCATTCACACACATATACATGCATACAGATATGCAAAGTGTACTTATCTTTCTGAGAGAATGAGGAACATCAGCTGAGAAGAATCAAACCCAAGATGTGCTAAAGCAAGAGAAAACCTAGGATGGTTCTGATAACAAATAGAAAGAATAGTCAATCTTGCAGGATTCCTGTACTTTGGGCCACTTATCAGTCAGTTGGGTATCAAGTGTCACTCATGGTACCATCTCCATGATCTTCACTGTGTGCAGCGATGATTACAGATTGCATGATTTGTTTGAAACTAATAAGTTTACACCCATTCAGATGTACAGCAGAGAGCGCTCAGATCACTTCTGTGGGACATATTGTAAACACTTCTTGTACTCTGCTTGAAACTGGAAGTGTGGAAATCCCGACTTCTGTACCAGTTGGAAAGATGCCTATAGAGATAAGCAGAAGCCCTATTCAGGTGTCAGGCCTTAATACTGATAGATGTGGTTTCCCCACCTCTGTCTCTTTAGACTGCAGGGTTGAGGGTCCTTTGCTATTTGTCAGCTAATCTGTGTTCTCTCTGAACTCCCTTTATCACATTCAGGTTGCTTGGATATCCAAGTATAAAACATGGTCAAGTGCCTATCAAATATGGTTTACCACAAAGGAGGTAGTGGTTTTGGCATACTATATATATGTGTGTGTGTGTGTTCGTGTGTAAAATGTTGACATCAGTTTATCAATTTATAAGTTAAAATCCAGAGCAATATGATTTTCTACTCTTAAGAAAACTCTCCCCACTTCTGTTATTAAATAATGAAAACTTTGAAACTAGCCTCTGAACCTGAGCTTTAGGATTTGGTGAGAGATAGATAAAAAGGTATCCTTTTTCATTCCCTCCCTTAGAAATATTTGCCCTTCTCGCACTTCTCTGCAATCCCAAAATAGCACTCCTGCGACTCCTGTTTCAAGCTGGCTTGAGCCTTGGCCACTCTTGTTGTTAAACAATTGCTATAGATCCAGTGAGATTCTGGGCCAGATTCAAAGTGCTGGTTTTAACCACTGAAATCTTTACTTGAATTGCAAAACTTTACTGCTTAGCTAGGAGCTATCACCAGTCATGTAATAGTACAACTAAAAAAGTGTGGTGTACTGCTTATAATATAATAATCATGGATAATGAGATTCGGATTATGATTCAACGATGAGACGTGGCGAATGATTTAGTGTAACTGTATTATTGATAGTGCTGTTGTTTATTGTTGATGTGTAATTGCTTTGTTGAAATTGTACCTGGTTTTATATGTTGTACACCGCCGTGAGTCGCCCTAGGGCTGAGAAGGGCGGTCTACAAATGTAGTAAGTAAATAAATAAATAAATAAATAAATAAATAAATGTAATCGCTTGCTGTGTCTACTATACAGGCAGTCCCCGAGTTCCAAATATCCAACATACATACGACTTATAGTTAAGAAAGGGGGAGAGAGAGCAGGAAGTAAGAGAAATCTACCCCATTGGAAGGGAAATTCACTCCTTTAAGAGTTCTCATGGGGAAAAAGTGTCTCCACTGAAGCTTTATCACCAATCCTTGTTTCCACAATGACCCAAATATGTTCAAAGTCCAATTATCATAGGGTCAGAAAGTGGGGTGAAATCTTGTGAACGGGCACAGACAAAAAAACAAACATCACAGGGGTGTTAACCTTTCCCTATGCTATCCAAAACTATCTATCTATCACCAAATTTACACTTAGAAATGTACCTGTTTCAACTTATATACAAATTCAATTTAATGTCAGACCTCTAGAACCTATCTTGTTCATAACATGAGGACTGCCTGTATGTGCTGGTACAGCTGTACCAGGAGCTCCAACTTTTCTTTCTTTGAGTATTTGCATGTATTCCAAAGTTCCATGCATTTTACAATAAGGTGGCTTTCCTTGGTTTGCAGCCACCTGCCTATCATTGTTGGGTTTTTTAGTTCCGCCCCTTTCCCCAGGGTTCAGGAAGGAAAGGGAGCCATTTTAGCTCAGTCTTACAGTTGAAAGCTTAGCTACAGGACGTGAATCAGCTCCACCTGTAGAGAAGCTTCGTTTCTTATGAAATTCCAGGGAAAACAGTTCCAAAGGACTCCAGCTAGAGAATCTACAAAGCCTTGACTGGTAGGTCTACTCGGGACCCAAGAAGCAGTTTGGAGCCAGGAGTAGAGCCCACACCAGCAAAGTTTAGAAAGTAGATTGTCCAAGGAGGGGTTAAAAAGGGTTTTCCTCTTAAAGAAAAGAAGCAGTTCACAAAGCCTGTTGCCTGTCCCTTGTGGACAAGATTAAGAAAGCTACCAGTTGATTCAAAGCCTTGAAGTATTTGTTTGACCTGTTGAAGATCTGAGAAGTATTTGATTGTTTTGTTGAAGACCTAAGCAATAATAAAGGACTTTGTTAAACTTTTGAAGCTTGTAAAGACTCTGTATAGGAAAATCCTTAGGGTCTCTCACTCGAGGCACCCTGGCTTCCCACTGGGCACAAAGAGCATGTCCTTTTCAAAAGCCAATTGCTATAGGCCCAGCGCGTGACAGCACACTGTATATCCGATACCTTTCACAGAAATAAAATGATGACATCTTACAAAAATTATAAAAAGAGACCCTACCTGCATAAGCAGGGAAATGTAAAAATCCATGCTGTAAAACATGTGCTAATTCATTGGGATGCATTAAAATAAAGATCAAACAGCACCCTTTACTATGATTTTATAAGGATTAACACATTGGTGCTTATAGTATCTGTACGCTACATGAAGCCCACAACTGCAAACGCCTCTGTGAGTTCACCAAAATGCTAGCAATTGCAAACTGAAACTCAACTACTTGGATTACATTTCCAGTAAAATGTTCAGTTCCATGGCCCATTGTGGGATAAAAATTATCCACTTGTGGATTAACAAGATAGAGAATTTAAGGGTTGCTGTAATCTTTAGTTCTGATTTTTCACCTCAGAAAAAAGATGTTGTTATTCATTCATTCAGTTGTTTCCGACTCTTTGTGACCTCATGGACCAGCCCACACCAGAGCTCCCTTTGGGCCGTCACCACCCCCAGCTCCTTCAAAGTCAATCCAGTCACTTCAAGAATCCCATCCATCCATCTTGCCCTTGGTCGGCCCCTCTTCCTTTTTCCTTCCATTTTCCCCAGCATATTGTCTTCTCCAAGCTTTCCTTTTTTCTCATGATGTGGCCAAAGTACTTCATCTTGGCCTCCACTATTCTTCCCTCCAATGAGCAGTCGGGCTTTATTTCCTGAAGTATGGACTGGTTGGATCTTCTCGCTGTCCAAGGCACTCTCAGAACTTTCCTCCAGCACCACAGTTCAAAAGCATCTATCTTTCTTCGCTCAGCCTTCCCTATGGTCCAGCTCTCACATGCATAGGTGACTATGGGGAATAGCATTGCTTTAACTATGCGGAAAAGAAGATAAGCCATAGTAATATTTGGTTATTTGCAGTGCCATATGATTTGGGAATGTAGTACTTTGTTGTGATGATATATTGTTATATTGATGGAGCTTGTCCATAAGCAGATCTTCTTATGACTTACTTGAAGCAACTTTTCTCTTTCATAGCTTCTCAACCTCAGGCTGTACACAGCCTCTTGGAGAAACCTGGTGCAGCAATCCTCTGCAACAATTGCGGCAATCCATGCAAAGGAGAAGTGCTAAGAGTGCAAAAGAAGTATTTCCATATTAAGTGTTTCGTTTGCAAAGGTATGTATTAATTTTCATTGTCTGTATGTGGAATCATAACATAAAAACTGAATTTGGGGTCTGTGTAACTCAAACATATGGATTTATTTATTTTGTGTCAAAAGCATTGCATAAACAAGGATAAAACCGATAAAATAGAGGGAGCACAAGCGGCTAAACAATTTTAGACCAAAAACGGGCAACAGTGACCATATTGTCTGTAGCTTTATACAATTCTTCCTCTGTTCATGAGGCAGGGCATTGTTGACAAGCCGACAGAACACCTTTGGAACACCCTCCCCAAAGACATTAGACTAGCACCTACGTTGGCAGTCTTTAGGAAGAACTTGAAGACCTGGCTATTCCGATGTGCCTTTCCGGAATAGGCTAACCCCCAGCACTATGTCCCAGAAGCACTTTATTAGAGTTTAAGACTCTCTGCACATTGCACTTGCCCAGAATACCAACATGCCACCTGCCACACCCAGCACTTTTTAACTTGTACCCATCACTGGCCCAGCCCTGGTTTTTATTGCGTAATAGTGTAATGTTTTGTTGTTATTGCTTATGTTTTTAATTTGCTTGCATTGTATTGTTATTGTCTGTTGTTGTTGTTGAGACCTTGGCCTTTGTAAGCCGCATCGAGTCCTTCGGGAGATGCTAGCGGGGTACAAATAAAGTTTAATAATAATAATAATAATAATAATAATAATAATAATAATAATAATGACGATGATGGATTGTTCTGCCCCACAGTTGCACAAAGTGGAGGATTCTTCTAGTCAGTGGCTCTCAAGCTGTGGATCCCGAAGTGTTTTGGCCTACAACTCCCAGAAATCCCAGTCAGTTTACCAGCTATTAGGATTTCTAGGAGTTGAAGGCCAAAACATCTGGGGATCCACAGCTTGAGAACTACTGTTCTAGGTAGTGCCATTTTGCCAGGCTGTCTTCTGATTTGGCTATTCCTCTTCTGAGTCTGTGCAGAGACTTCCAAAGTTGCCCATTCTTGGTTTGCCCCTGGAGGCAGACCCTCGTGGAGCAGACTGTGGATGTGCACACCATATTGGGAAGGGTCTACACCGAAAGTTAAGCATTTTGTTGGAACCCTCTCCTGTGCATGCTCACTAATACTTCCAACATTTCTTCCCATTCCTTTTTGTCTACTAAACTTGTAGTCGCTCATTAATTTCTTCATCTTCAGATTGTTTCCTAAGTTCATTATTTGCTTCACTTTCTTGTGGCTGTATTATTTCATTAGCATTTCTCTTCTTTATTTATTCTTCCCCTGGGAAAAGGTATGGCATTTCCACAAAATGAGAATGCCTGTGAACAGTGCCTTCTGCAGAAGCAAAAATAACATTGATTTTTCTATTTACAGAAAATAAATAGTGTTCTCATATAATTTCATTATAACTTGCATTACATTAAACTGCTATACTACAAAGGATCTTGTTTCATATAGCAGCTTTTGTATTATATTACTTGTGGAAGAACATTATATAAATGTGCACTTCATTTACAATGATTAGTTTGACATGTATCTTCAGAAACAAATCAGTTTGAAAATATTATAAGATTTGAGAGTATTGCAGCTAAATGAAAAATGAAGAAGGTAAGCCACGTGTAAATTAATAACAGGGAATGGGTATGAATCAGATCTACTCTATTTGCTGGTCTATAAATACATCTTCTAAAAACTACTGTGTGTAATCCAATCCCACATAAGAACATACTGTGAAGTGTGAGTGTTTCAGATTACACAAGAAGATGCCATATGCAAGAAGACAGCGAATGAGTGACAAAAGCTTAAAATAAAGTGAAATGCTGGTAAATGTTTTAATTGTACTATCAAAATCCATATAGCAATTTGTGATACACTAAAGACTAGCCGATTTATGATAGATTTAGCTTTCATTACCTGTAGCCTAATTCATCAGATGCATTCAATGTTATATTAGCTTACAAGTATAGGTTGGCAGGGGAATGGAAATGTAAACAGTAAGGTCAGAGAGAAATAAAACACAGAAAGTGCAGCCTGAGTGTTTCAATAATAAGTATTAGTGAACATAATTCTATTATTGCTATTATTACTATTAATTTAATTATTTTTATCTCAAACTGGACTATTTATTTCTTGTGTCAGGGCAGCCAGTCAATTATATTACATTTCTAACAGAACAAAGCAAACAAACAGAGAAAATACAAAATGTGTGAGTTTGGTAGTTGATTAAATGTCCTTTGACCAGTATCTGGCCACTTGGAGTGCTTCTGGTGTTGCTGCAAGAAGGTCCTTCATTGTGCATGTGGCAGTGCTCAGGTTGCATTGCAGCAGATGGTCTGTGGTTTGCTCCTCTCCACACTCGCATGTCGAGGATTCCACTTTGTGGCCCCATTGCTGAAGGTTGGCTCTGCATCCCGTGGTGCCAGAGCGCAGTCTGTTCAGCGCCTTCCAAGTCGCCCAGTCCTCTGTGTGCCCAGGAGGGAGTCTCTCATTTGGTATCAGCCATTGGTTGAGGTTCTGGGTATGAGCCTGCCAATTTTGGACTCTCACTTGCTGAGGCGTTCCAGCGAGTGTCTCTGTAGATCTTAGAAAACTATGTCTAGATTTAAGTCATTGACGTGCTGGCTGATACCCAAACAGGGGATGAGCTGGAGATGTCTCTGCCTTGGTCCTTTCACTATTGGCTGCCACTTCCCGGCAGATGTCAGGTGGTGCGATACCGGCTAGACAGTGTAATTTCTCCAGTGGTGTAGGGCGCAGACACCCCGTGATAATGCGGCATGTCTCATTCAGAGCCACATCCACTGTTTTAGTGTGGTGAGATGTGTTCCACACTGGGCATGCATACTCAGCAGCAGAGTAGCACAGCGCAAGGGCAGATGTCTTCACTGTATCTGGTTGTGATCCCCAGGTTGTGCCAGTCAGCTTTCGTATGATATTGTTTCTAGCACCCACTTTTTGCTTGATGTTCAGGCAGTGCTTCTTGTAGGTAAGAGCACGGTCCAGAGTGACTCCCAGGTATTTGGGTGAGCTGCAATGCTCCAGTGGGATTCCTTCCCAGGTGATCTTCAGAGCTCGGGATGCTTCTCTGTTCTTGAGATGAAAGGCACATGTCTGTGTTTTAGATGGGTTGGGGATCAGCTGGTTTTCCCTGTAATAGGTAGTAAGAGCACCTAGAGCTTCGGAAAGCTTCTGTTCTACCATCTCAAAGCTCCCTGCTTGAGCAGTAATGGCACGATCATCAGCATAGATGAAACTCTCTGTCCCTTCTGACTGTGGCTGGTCATTTGTGTAGATCAGGGGTAGGGAACCTTTGGCCCTCCAGCTGTGGTGGACTTCAACTCCCACAATTCCTTGAGGCTCGGCATTGGGCCAAGGTAAGCCTTTGGGGCGAATGCCGAGCCTCAAGGAATTGTGGGAGTTGAAGTCCACCACAGCTGGAGGGCCAAAGGTTCCCTACCCCTGGTGTAGATGTTGAACATGGATGGAGCAAGCACGCTCCCCTGAGGCAGGCCGTTCTTCTGTTTCCGCCATCTGCTTCTCTGGCCCTGGAACTCAACAAAAAAGCTCCTGTTTTGTAGCAGGTTTCCTATGAGGCGGGTGGGGTGGTAGTCCTTTGTGATATTATACATTTTTCTCAGGAGGAGGCGGTGGTTCAAATTGGACTTATGGTGGCTTACAAAAATTAGAACAAATAAAGAAAAAGCACATCCAAAGAATCTTTCTCACTGGTGAGCTAATTAATACAACTAGTATGAATCGATGGCATTTCCTTTCACCTTCTTGGTGGTCACCATGAATGGCTCTTTCATTGTATTTTCTTTTTAAAGTGTTTTTAAACTACTTCAGTGCTAGTGATGTCCTTACAAATGCTCTGCATTTTTGATCCCAGTTTTGAGGCACACATGAGATATGCTATGGTCAGCTGCAGTGCATATTCTAGGTTGTTTTGGACTTTCTATTATGCTGTTTCTGACTTGATGTATGCTTCAGCATGCATTGAGCAGTCTGTTTTGTGGCCCCAATGTAGCATATGAATATTGTGCACCACACTACAATTTCAAGGATTTACATGTTTTTGATAGCCAAGTCTATATATCATAAAATTAAAAGTTTATCAAAATTCTACCTAGAATGATTTCAAATCACAGTTCTTTTGCCTTGGTATTGTTTAACAGAAAAGAGACATTTAATTGGGTGCTTATCGAATTATCACTATCTGATGAGAAAGTGACTTTGAGAAAGATCTGTTTGGAAACCTATAATAAAAGTTATTACAAGGAAAGAAAGAAAGAACTGGATTTCCTTCGCTTAAACATTATGGTTTATTTTTGTCCACAGCGTGCGGATGTGATTTGGCCCAAGGTGGATTTTTTGTAAGACAAGGAGATTTTATCTGTACGGTGGACTATCAGCGACTGTATGGCACACGGTGCCTTAGCTGTGATGAGTTTATTGAGGGAGAAGTGGTTTCGGCGCTGGGGAAAACCTATCATCCCAATTGTTTTGTCTGTGTGGTCTGCAGGTAAGTTGCTCTTTCTGAAACTTTGGATTGTGTGTTTATTATTGAAATGAGGTGGAGCAAAATACCCACTCACCACTCCGCCAGCCTTTCTATTATGCACAGAGATCTCAATCTTTGAAATTTTGTTATGCCTGAGTCTGGTATGTGGGTGAGACCTTAGCATCATTTTGCATGTTCCTTGCATGGTTTAAACCCGGAAACCTAAGTTGGAAACACAACCTGTTCTTCTGCTAGGTCAAGAAAAGAATTTGGGAAGGAAAAATATATATTCAGCAAAGAGGTGTTATGCTATGTCGTATTTTATTTACAGACAACATATGTGCCCTTTCTTTCCACAAAAAAAGTATGTGATGTATTTAAACCATGTCAGATCTCTTCTCCTGTGTAATGAGACTCAACTGGTTACTGTATGGCTTGCCAGAAAAGTAAGAAATAAAGAGCAAGTCCCTCTCCATCATGTAGGCTGTGACCAATTGTTGCTAAGTCTAGTACATGTTAAATCTGTTGTCTGTTTCCTCTGTGATTTGTGGCATTATTATATCTGACATATTAAATGTTTCCTTTTTCTGTCTGTTCTCTACATACCGTTTGTGTTATATCAGTTAGGCTAACATATCAACTGTGTAGCAAACAAAGGCCAAGATCCTGTTCTGCTTTGGTCAAGTAGAATACTTTGTCACTGTTAGTGCATTAGATGGTGCCTGCTTCCCAGTATGGGCCAGTTGTATCTACAGATGCTTCTTTGTGCTTTTTGAGGTCTTCCGATTCATGGTGATGTGCCTTGGGATGGTCTATTGAGATGACACTAGCAGTTTCCTGGGCAACCCCTCTCATGTTGCCTTGGCTCTGAAGATCCTTCAAATATAAGCATAGGAGAAAGCATGGCCATTGCTACAGCCAGTCTGCATTAGGAGGTGTTTCTAGCTGGTTCACTGTGAGTGCAACTGGTGGTCTGAGCTACTCACAGTCATCGGTTGCTGCCACCAGGCCTGTAGCGAGGGGGGGGGTGTTAGGGGTTCAACCCCCCCCCCCGAAATGTTTCAGATTTTTTTTAAAAACCTGGTTTACTCATGAATTTTAACTGGTTAACCAAATCCCCATGCTAAGTCTATGAGATGCAAAAAATTAAGAGTCCCTCCAGAACTGCAAGCACTATCTCAAGCAAATATTGGCAATTTATTCACACTGTCATTACTTGCAGCAATAGCCGATGTAGTTGTTCTGGTACAGCTGTACCAGGAGCTCCAACTTTATTTGCTTTGTATTAAATGTTTGCTTGCAGTCCTAGGTTTCAGGGACTCTGCAGATAGGTGGCTTCTTTCGTTGCCGTCATAGGGCAGGTCACCTGTCCATCATTGTTAAGTTTTGGTCCCGCCCCTTGCTCAGGGCAATTAGGAAGGGAAGGGAGCCATTTTTAGTTATTCTCAGCAAGGTAAGCTGATGTATAGGATGTGTGTAAGCTTCCCCTGTACAAAAGCTTCAACCCTTAAGACCTTCCGGGGGAGAAAGGTCTTAAGAGTCTCCAAAGAATTTCCAGGAAAACAGCCCTAAAGACCTCCAGCTGGAGAACATCTACCGCCTTGCTGGTAGGTCCACTCGGTGTTCGAGACGCAGTTCGACCCAGTAGCGGAGCCCACATCAGTAAGGGTTAGATTACAGTCAACCTGGGAGAAGTTAAAACGGGGATTTTCCTTTAAAGAAGAAGTTATTGAAGACAGTTGCCTGTCCTTCATGGGCAAGATTAGGAATTCACCAGTTGCCTAAAAGCTTGGAATCATTTGCTTAACTTTACTGAAGACAAGAGACGTTTCTGTTTGATTGTTCATTAATAAAAGACTTTGTTGTACTTCTCAAGCCATCTAAAGACTGTTTGTGGTGGAAACCTCTGAGAACTTCTCTTTAGGCCCCCTGGCTTCCCGCTGGGCAAAGGTTGCACATCCTGTTCTAAAGACAATTATTTACAGGCCCAGCGCGACAGAACAGTAGTGAAGCAACCAAGTTGGGGGGGGGGGGGGGGATGTTGAATGTTCTCATTAAGGAGGCCAGACTTGGTGGAGGTGGTTGACAAGGGCGGAGCTGCAGGCTATTGAAGGCTGCTCTGCCCCCTGCTGTGCTCTTTGCTTCAGCGTGAGCTAGGAGGCAGGTTTCAACCCCCCCCCCCCGTGAAATTTTCAACCCCCCCCAAATTTCAACCCCTCCCGAAATTTTTTTCTGGCTATGGCCCTGGCTGCCACTGCTACTTACTGTTGCTGTTAGAGAGGCACCTCTTGGGTACCTCCCTGAGCTGTAAGAAATCAAACTGCTTATTGAATGGTCTATTACATACCCAATTTGCCCTATAGGTCTTGACTGCAAGTCCTCATAATAGTGGTTGATTTACCAAGGTATTGTATGTCTACAAGGGATGACCTGGTGACCACTTAGGTCAGTGTAATAGCCGATCAGTTTTTTCTTCTTCTCTGTTGTTTGACTGGTTAAAAATTAGGAATAATCAATTCTGTTGCTTTGAGGACCCTTCCACACAGCCCTATGTCCCAGAATATCAAGGCAGGAAATCCCAGATTTTCTGAGTGTGGATACAGATAACCCAATTCAAAGTAGAATTTGTGGGATTTTCTGCCTTGATATTCTGGGATATAGGGCTGTGTGGAAGGGCCCTGAGAATAATATAGACTGAGCAAGAAAGCCTGTAGGTTTTGACTTGTTGGAACCTCATTTCTACATGCTTGTTTCTATATGTCAAAAAATGGCATGGCCACCATTTTGCTATATATTGTGTGCAGTCACCATATTAGAATTCCGGTCTCATGTTGTGTGCTCCTGTTTTGGATTATCTCCACATTACATCTAATTTATCTTACTGTGCAGGCAGCCTTTTCCTCCTGGGGACCGTGTCACATTCAATGGCAAGGACTGTGTCTGTCAGAAATGTTCCCTGCCACCTGCTGGCAGCAACGTCTCTATTCCAACCCTCCGAAGTAAGTCATAGATTGTTTTACTTTATTGTAACTGGGATTGCCCCCTGTTATTATTTATTTATTTACTATATTTATATAGTAAATAAATAAATTCAGCCTGATATTTTATCAATGGATGTACACTGAATGTTTTAATATTTACAGGCCATTTTTAATAGATATTTTGATCTGATACGTAATGTGTTGATTTTAGCAGCTGACTTCTATATATCAGACTAAAATATTTAGTAGCTGGGATATTATAAACTTCAGCATTTGGAAAGATTTTCTCGGTTTCTCACTTTTTATCTGATAATTTCTATGGCATCCAGTAATGTTTTATTGCAAGTGTGAAACATTGTCATTGATCGATACCCTAACCAAAGTCGTGAAGATACTCCAAATGCACGTTCCTTTAGATATTTAAATTATAAATCAATTTTTGTAGCATGTTTAAATGTATGGAATTTAAACATTTGCGAACAGTGTCTACACTACTTTTTAAGAAAATAGGTTAACAGATAAAAGTAACCAATCTGGGTTTTAGGACACAAACTTTTGGTTTTCTATTGATGGACAAGTATTTGTGAGCATTGTATTGGTTATTACACTGCAAGAAAGGGGTCAAGGCTCTTTTTGTGCTGTTCGGCTGCTCTTTATTCTTCAGTTCAGTAATGGCAGAGGGTTGTGGGAGTGAGAGATTCAAACTTATCCCTTTCCTTTCAGTTATTATGAAAACTGTTTAGGGATGTATTGCTTTCCACACAGCCTTAGCGCAGAGCAATACATTAGTGGTAGAGCACATGCTTTGCCTGCAAGAGGCCCCAGATTCCAACCTTGCAGTCCCGCAGGTAGGGCTGTTTGAAAGCCTACTTGTCAGTCAAGAATTGACAGTACTGAACTGTGACCTAGCTCTGTCTAAGGCAGCCTCCCATGTTCCTGTGTTGACACGTTGGTGAGGCTGTAGATAAATGTTAATTTTAATACGAACCTAAATCCCATTCCTTCACTGTTTACCTTTTTCCCCCCCTTGTATCCTGCCATATAATCCAGATTGTCAAATCAGATTATCCACATTATCTGCTTTGAACTGGATTATATGAGGCCTCTTCCACACAGCTTTATAATCCAGAATATCAAGGCAGAAAATCCCACAATATCTGCTTATTTATTTATTTATCATGTCAGGGGCAACCAGACAATTGTATTACATTTCTAACAGAACAGACCAAACAAACTGACAAAAAACACAACATTTGCAAGCTTGGTGGTTGATTAAATGTCCTTTGACCAGTATCTGGCCACTTGGAGTGCTTCTGGTGTTGCCGCAAGAAGGTCCTCCATTGTGCACGTGGCAGGGCTCAGGATGTATTGCAGTAGGTGGTCTGTAGTTTGCTCTTCTCCACACTCGCATGTCGTGGATTCCACTTTGTAGCCCCATTTCTTAAGGTTGGCTCTGCATCTTGTGGTGCCAGAGCGCAGTCTGTTCAGCGCCTTCCAAGTCGCCCGGTCTTCTGTGTGCCCAGGGGGGAGTCTCTCATTTGGTATCAGCCATTGGTTGAGGTTCTGGGTTTGAGCCTGCCACTTTTGGACTCTCGCTTGCTGAGGTGTTCCAGCGAGTGTCTCTGTAGATCTTAGAAAAATTTCTTGATTTAAGTTGTTGACGTGCTGGCTGATGCCCAAATAAGGGATGAGGTGGAGATGTCACTGCCTTGAACAATATCTACTTTGAACTAGGTTATCTGAGCCCACACTGCCATATATTCCAGTTCAAAGCAGATAATCTGGATTTATATGGCAGTGTAGAAGGGGCCTTAAGTAAGAAATGTAGAGCAGTTTCATTCTTTCCTCTGCCCCAACACAACACTGATGAAGATCATAACCACTTTGTTATATTATTAAGCTTTTCTCTAAACTTTACCATAGTGTGATACAAGAAATATTTTATTCAGGCTTTTCACATTGTAATCCTGCTCCCTTCACTGCTCAGCTGATGACAGGGAACAGATGAGCAGTGGGTGTATTTGACAAGGAAGAGAGAAAAAGTTTTCAACCATGTTCCCTTTTCCCAGTTGCACAACTGATTGGAAGAAAAGGCATGGGTTGCATAGAATGAGACAATACACTGCCTAGGACTGTGGATTACGGGAACACATCCTGAAGACAATGTGCATATTTCCCATTGTACAAAGTCCTGTTGGGATAAATAAATTCCCAAGGAGGGCTGTTCGAAATTATGCCCAAAGGGTATAGAAAATGCACTTAAGGTGTATGTGTTGATTGGAGTTGAGTGCATTCTTTGTGGATACATTATGCTCATAATCATGAGGTGCAGTGATTGTACATGGTTTGGTTACTTGTTATGCATTTACGGGGACTACTAATAGCGCACTAAACATAGCAGTGATCCCAACATTCTCTTGTGTTTAAATTATATTTATTCTCTATCTAAAGTGTTTGTTCAAATCATTTCAAAATCATCTTGATCTCAAAAAGCTATTCAGGAAGCAAAGAGATGCCTTTGTTGAGAAAATTATAAATCTATTATATTCTTATATTTTAGAAGTCAAGATAACTGGGCTGGGTACAGACATACTTATTTTTTTCTTAAATCCATTGAACATAGGGATGGGCTTTAGCACAGCAGGTTAACCAGCAGCTGCAGTAAATCTTGCCAATCAAAAGGTTGACAGTTTGAAGCCCAGGACAGAGTGAGCTCCTGGCCTTTAGCCCAGCTTCTGCCTACCTAACAGTTCAAAAGCAAAATGTGAGTAGATAAATAGGTACCGCTTAAAAGCAGGGAGGTATTTAAGGCACCTATTGATTTATTTATTTATCGTATCAGAAGAAGGGTACAGTTAAAATGAATTTAAAAATAAAACAAAGTATTTTTTAAAAAATAACTTGGCATTATGCTAAATGTCCTTTGACCAGAAGCTGGCCACTCAGAGTGCCTTTGGTGTTGCTCTAAGAAGGTCCTCCATTGTGCTCAGGCTGCATTGTAATAGGTGGTCTGTTGTTTGCTCTTCTCCACACTCAGACTCCACTTTGTAGCCTCATTTCTTAAGGTTAGCTTTGCATCTTGTGGTAACAGAGTACAGCTTGTTCAGCGCCTTCCAGGTGGAGCCCTCGGTGGCGCAGTGGGTTAAAGCCCTGTACCAGCAGGACTGAAGACCGACAGGTCGCAGGTTCAAATCCGGGGAGAGGCGGATGAGCTCCCTCTATCAGCTCCAGCTCCTCATGCGGGGACATGAGAGAAGCCTCCCACAAGGATGATAAAAACATCAAATCATCCGGGCGTCCCCTGGACAACGTCCTTGTAGACAGCCAATTCTCTCACAACAGGAGCAACTCCTGACACGACAAAAAAAAGCGCCTTCCAGGTAGCCCACTCTTCTCAGTCATTGATTGAGGTGCTGGGTTTTAGGCACCCATAAGGAAATGCCAGAAAAATGCTGGCGATTCGATCAAGGAGGGAGTTTACAAACAAAGCTCTTTGGTAGGGAAGATGGGGCGGCAGCACCCTTCCCTCCCCCCTGGCCGAAACCGAGCACAGCCTCCAAGATGGTGAAGATGGGAAATGCCTATATATACACCTCTATCTATGTACAATTGTCTGTCTTGTCAGTGTGTAAACGGCACTGTATGTTTGCCATATATGTATTCCGTGATCTGCCCTGACTTCCCTTTGGGGTGAGAAGGACAGAATATAAATACTGTAAATAAATAAACAAACTCTATGAGAATTAAAGTAGGCCTAATGTAGGCCCCTTCTATCCTGCCATATCATCCAGATTATCAAAGCAGATAATCCACATTATCTGATCTGAACTAGATTATATGACTCTACACTACCAAAGCCTAGAGAAGACAATTATGCTGGGGAAAGTGGAAGGCAAAAGGAAGAGGGGCCGACCAAGGGCAAGATGGATGGATGGCATCCTTGAAGTGACTGGACTGACCTTAAAGGAGCTGGGGGTGGTGATGGCCGACAGGGAGCTCTGGTGTGGGCTGGTCCATGAGGTCACAAAGAGTCGGAGACGACTAAATGAATGAACAACAACAACACTACCATATAATCCAGTTCAAACCAGTTAATCTGGATTTTATATGGCAGTGTAAAAGGGGCCTGAATCTGCTATAAATCTTCATCACTTTTTGTGTCCCTCCCTCTGTGTTTATTTCTGTGTAATTTAGTTTACCTATAGAATCATAGAATCATAGAATCAAAGAGTTGGAAGAGACCTCATGGGCCATCCAGTCCAACCCCCTGCCAAGAAGCAGGAATATTGCATTCAAATCACCCCTGACAGATGGCCATCCAGCCTCTGCTTAAAAGCTTCCAAAGAAGGAGCCTCCACCACACTCCGGGGCAGAGAGTTCCACTGCTGAACGGTCTCACAGTCAGGAAGTTCTTCCTAATGTTCAGATGGAATCTCCTCTCTTGTAGTTTGAAGCCAGTTCCGCGTCCTAGTCTCCAGGGAAGCAGAAAACAAGCTTGCTCCCTCCTCCCTGTAGCTTCCTCTCACATATTTATACATGGCTATCATATCTCCTCTCAGCCTTCTCTTCTTCAGGCTAAACATGCCCAGCCCTTAAGCCGCTCCTCATAGGGCTTGTTCTCCAGACCCTTGATCATTTTAGTCGCCCTCCTCTGGACACATTCCAGCTTGTCAATATCTCTCTTGAATTGTGGTGCCCAGAATTGGACACAATATTCCAGGTGTGGTCTAATCAAAGCAGAATAGAGGGGTAGCATTACTCCCTTAGATCTAGACACTATGCTCCTATTGATGCAGGCCAAAATCCCATGTGTATTATTTAATTCAATTTAAAAAACAGAAAGTCAATTACACAATTACACAAGTGGGCGTTGCCATGTGGAGAACCACAGCAGAAGAAAGCAGGAGCCTTGAAGAGCCAAATTCAATACCAGATCTGACAAAGTATGTGTATTAATTTAAAAGGAGTCAGAATTTGAATATATAAGGTGTTTGGGGTCTCAACCTGTAATTTTCGTAGTTAACCATTCACTGTATGACAGATATGGTGCCCAGTTTTTATTGTCATTCTCAATCATATGAATACGTGCATAAAGATTAATATGCTTTTATTTTTCAGAAGCCTCATAAATTATATGTATGGCATAATGTTTAAAACTATTTCCACATTTTTAACAGATTGTGGAAACTGTGGCTTGGAAATAAAAAATGGACAATCTTTGGTGGCATTGGACAAGCACTGGCACTTGACCTGTTTCAAGTGCAAGATATGTGGCAAACTTCTCAGTGCTGAATATATCAGCAGGTAAGTTGATAAGGGTGAATTCATTTACTTTTCAAACAGTTCCTTGTGTTGTGTTCTCAAAATGAGTTGTGCGTGCATGTTGTGCTATCGGATTTGTAGACCTGAGAAAAGATTAAGTCTGAAGATTGTCAGCTATTCTTTTCTTTTTTTTACATATTTTTAAAAAGTTGTTTAATGTCAAGTGCTTGCAACACTGTAATAGGCATTAGAGGGGGCATCACTTCTAATTCAGTGGTGTCCTGTTCCTTTGTTTTTTGCTTTTCCACATTGAATTTGTTCAGTCCCCGCTCCAAATAATTACATTGATGTTATAGAGTGTGTATACATTCAGCATGTGGTGGCTTCCCTTTTAATTTCGAATAGAAAAGCTAGCTATAAGATCTATCTGTGATGTCATGAATCCATGCTTTAGCTGCTGCTGGCTAATGCCCGGTCAGTTATTAATAAAAGAAGGTTAATCCAGGACATGATCCTCGATAAAGAGACTGACCTAGTTCGTGTCATCAGTACCCACCTACGAGAGACATTGCATCCTGTCATAGTTCTGCTGTTTTTAGTATGGCAATTAATATACAATTGACATACAAATCATAGAATTGGAAGACAGGCATATAGTCTGAACCTGTGGCTCCTCAATCCAGGAAGCAGTTATAATATCCCAATTTGGGACCAGCCAACCTGAAACAGAATAGAGTCCATCATATTCTGGTGTAGTTTGTTTCAAGGCTGAACAGCTTGTATCATTGAAATTTCTCCTAATGTTTAAAAAAGTAAAGGTTCCCCCTTGACATTAAGTCTAGTTGAGTCCAACTCTGGGGGGTGGTGCTCATCTCCATTTTGAAGCCAAAGAGAGGCATTGTCCATAGACACCTCCTAGGTCATGTGGCTGGCATGACCTCCTTGGAGTGCCTTTACCTTCCTGCTGAAGCAGTACCCATTGATCTACTCACATTTGCATGTTTTTGAATGGTTAGGTTGGCAGAAGCTGGGGCTAACAACAGGAGCTCATCCCATCTGTGGATTCAAACCACCAAACTTCCAATCAGCAAGTTCTGCAGCTTAGCGGTTTAACCCACTCCCTCACCATGGCCCTTAATGTTTAGCTTGTCATTGATTTCTACCCATAGTTTCTCAACCTGTCCTCTGAAGCATCAGAAAATATGTCTTCCCACTTTCTGCATGACACTTCTACATATATCTGAAGATAAGAGTCCCAGGCCTCTTTTATAATGCCATATAATCCAGATTTTCAAATCAGATAATCCACATTATCTGATTTCAACTGGATCACATGAGTCTACACTGCTATATAATCCAGTTCTAATAAGATTTATCTGGATTTTATATAGTGTAGAAGGGGCCAAAGAAAACCACAAACCGAGCACACCCCACTCTTACTCCCCAACAAGTGATAATGTGTGGCATACTGTATTGGTCATAGATCTGTCACAAGTAGCCTTATCCTTCATCATTTTACCTAATCTTCCTTTAAACCAGTGGTTCCCAATCTTTTTTGACCAGGGACCACTTGACCAGGGACCACTCTCCAACATTAGTACCAAAAGGGTTATGATTCAGTTTTTGGTCAACTTTAGATTCGTTGGTTATTTGGGGTGCTGATTCAGAAAATTGCATTGGATAGACCACATCAGCTCTAGTTTCTGATACAGAACGTATGTCATCCAATAGTCACCATCTGCTCACCCACGGAAAACCATATTTAATAATCTAGAGCTGATGTGGTCTATCCAATGCAATTTTCTGAATTAGCAGCCCAAATACCCCCAGGAAAAGGCCTGCTTCCAGTCACAACATGGAATGGCTCTGCTCAGGGGGAGGGAAGAGGAGGAGGAGAAGCAGGACACCCAATTTTACGGGTTTTTTTAAAAAATTGTGACATTTCCCATCTGAACAATTCATTTGGGGAGTTGTCGATGCATTTGTTGTTTTCTTTCTTTCAGAGATGGGGTTCCATACTGTGAAGTGGACTATCATGCCAAATTCGGAATAAGATGTGATAATTGTGAAAAATACATTACAGGAAGAGTTCTGGAAGTAAGGGAGCTTGCTGCTTACAATTAATACATCTTGTGGTGCATGAAGTTCTGCCAACATAATTATAAGAAGGGCAAGATGACAGACAGGAAGATGGGCAATGACCAATTTTTGGTGTTTGTATTGAGCATGAGCAGAGCTGTATCCAGTGGAATTGAACTATTGCCTATTGACTTGTGTCTGAAAATAACCTGGTAGCTGGGGAGTGGTGATCCCTGTAACTGGCACCAGTTAACAATTTGGCTGCAGCTTTTTGTACTAGATACAGTTTCCAAATATTTTACAAAGGCATCCACATATTGAGTGTGTTACAATAGTACAAACAGTACATAACTAAAATTGTAGACAAATTTGATGTCTCAAGAAATGGGCACATAGGCAGATAAACTTTAAACACAAAACCACTCCTGACCATTTCAGGGACCGGGATCCTCAAGTTCAAAGCTAAGTCCAGGAATATTCCCAAATTGTGAATTTTTGTCTTCAGGGGGAATCAAACTTTAAGTACTATCCCCTGATTTGCCTTTTAGTAATACCAATAACCTTCCACATTTTCTATTTAAATGTACATATTTATTTAAAAATAAAACAACAACAACAACAACAATAATAATAACAGCAACACGATTTATATTCTGCCCTTCTCCACAAGGGGACTCAGAGTGGATTGCAGCATATAAACAGACACAGGCAAACAATCAATGCCTTGTTACAGTAAAATACAAATAACAAAGGCAAAGGCTTCTCCTTTCATTTCTGTCTTCTGGAGGCAGTGCTTCTCCATTTCCAAGCCAAGGAACCTGCATTGTTAGTAGACACCTCCTGGTCATGTGGCCGGCATGACTGTATTGAGTGTCCTTTTGCCTTTCCTGCCAAGCTGGTACCTATTGATCTACTCACATTTGCATGTTTTTGAACTGCTAGGTTGGCAGGAACTAGGGCTAACAGTGGGAGCTCACCTTGTCCTGCGGATTCGAACTGCCAACCTTCAGGTCAGCAGTTCAGCAGCACAAGAGTTTAACCCATTGTGCCATTGCAGCCCTTACACATGTATATATATACAAATCCATACACACATATGAACCCTGATAAAAATATATATACATGGACCAGTGCAATACTGCCTGACAGCTATACAATAGTTGTATTTGACTAGCCATTTCTTCATCCTTCCCATTGTAGTGATGTCCCGTCCTTTGGGTTGGAGACAGTCACATATGGTTTTGTTCTTCCCTCCTATTACATTTTTTCTAGACTTCCTTCTGACATAATAGTTATTCTGTCTGCAGGATTTTTTTTTCTATAAAATATCCACTGAAGCAGGTCCATACTTTCTTGCACAGAGGTAATGAGTCATTCTGAATCTTTCTTAGCTGGCACTGAAGCCCATTTAATGAATTGCTTTTGTAGGTGGCATTATTATTATTATTAATATTAATATTAATACCCCACTTTTTCTCTCCCCAAAAGCATACATAGGATTTCACTGCAAATAGTCTATATTTAATGCATTTCCATTTTCTATTTGTTCCCCAACAGGCAGGAGAAAAGCACTATCACCCTATGTGTGCACGATGTGTCAAGTGCAGCCAGATGTTTTCAGAAGGAGAAGAAATGTACCTTCAAGGTAAAGGGGAAAATCTTTCCTGGATTTCATGGAACAATATAGTTTATTTGGAATTAAATTTGTTTTTATTATAATTTTCTATGATAAACACAGCTTTACTTTTATTTAGATAATGAGGCTTTCCTAGGATACGAACAATGTGGTAGAAAAAATGTAAACAAAATATGGAATACAATGTTTTGAAAACTTATTTGCAGTGGGCAGTATGTCTACTGGAAAACATTATGTTCTAAACTAATCACAGCATCTAATTCATCATACCAGTTAATCTATCCCATGTATAATTCAAGGCTGCCCAAAATCTTATGATATAGCTTTGATCTTTATGCATCTGTGAATAAAGTCTTGTAGTGCAAATTATTACGAAAACAGCAAATTAATTGGAATGCAAACTCTACTTTTCAGGGGCTTCTATTTGGCATCCCGCCTGTAGACAGGCAGCCAAAACTGAAGAAAAGGCCAAGGTAAAATAAGTGTGCATTTCATGTTCATTTATAGGTTGTCTAGGTTGCTGCAGACTTACATCAGAAATATACATACGAGGTTTTCTTGTCCATTTTTCCATTGGTAAAAACCTGGGTGTGGGTGCTGTGAAAAGAACTGTACATGCAGTCCCTGAGTTACAGACATCTGGCTTGCGTATGACTTATAGTTAAGTATGGGAAGTGAGAGGAAATCTACCCTTAGGAAGAAGAATTCACTCCTGGAAGAGTTATCATGGGGAAAAAAGATGTTTCCACTGAAGCTTTCACACCAATCCTTATTTCCACAACAAGCCAAATCTTTCAAAATCCAATTATCACAGTAGGTGAAATCTTCCGAATGGGGCACAGACAGTAAAATAAATGTCACAAGGGTATTAATCCTTCCCTGTGCAATCCTCTCTCTGTATGTGTGTGTGTGGAGTTACACTTAAAAAGGACCTATTTCGACTTGCATAGAAATCCAACTTATGAACAAATCTACACAACCTATCTTGTCTGTAACCCAGGTACTGCCTATATGTGAAATATTTCTCTTTCACAATGATCCCATAAATGCTTATATATATATATATATATATATATATATATATATATATATATATATAATAATCTTCTTGTTATCAATTATATTGCTGCAGAACCTTTAATTTTTAAGTACCCCAACCTGTTCTCAGGATCACCGAGTATTAATATCACACTTGTTGACATGAACAGCAACAAATAATGTTAGAGTTCGTTGCCAAATAAGAAGAAAAACAATTCCTCATGGATGTTAGCAACTTTCATGGTGAAAATGAAAGCCCACTTTCTTCTGCTTTTCCTGAAATTGCACACACATATTTGCAGAAATAAATAAATGCTCTAAATATGTCACATGATTTCCAAGACTTAACATGTCACTAACATGCAGTGGGAGAGACTAATATGACTTAGTACCATGTTTTAAAGCAGTGTTGAACTGCAATTATTAGTAATATTTGCATTACTAATGGGTTAAACCCTTGTGCCGGCTGGACTGCTGACCTGAAGGTTGCCGGTTCGAATCCATGAGATGGGGTGAGCTCCCATCTGTCAGCTCTAGCTTGCGGGGACATGAGAGAAGCCTCCAAGCAGGATAGTAACACATCCGGGCATCCCTGGGCAACATCCTTGCAGACGGCAGATTCTCTCACATCAGAAATGACTTGCTGAATGTTCTCACTTCTGACACAATTTTTAAAAATTACATTCATTTACATCCTGCTTGTCTTCTAATAATGGGACTCAAGGTGGCTAGCAACATATTAAAATACACATTAGAACAAGATACAGTCATTCAAATAACTTGGATCCAACCCAATAAGAATTATGATGAGCCATAATGCAACCCTTAAAACAAGCTAATTAGTATTGTTTTACACTTCAGAAAAAAAGCATTTGTACTTTTGTATAAATTTCCATCTGATTATTTTTAAAAACAGAATGCCTGCAAATATAACTGGAGAAAACATTCATGATTGAAATAAGAAATGACATAAAGCATGTTGTGCTAAAGATGTAACATGTATTTTGCAATGTGGTATAGTTCTGTTGTCCAGTAAATGCATGTTCTGCGGTTCAAAGAATGCGCTAAAATGAAATGTTTTCTTTTAATTAGTACTTAATAAAAATACTTTATTTATTTTCAGCTGCAAGAAACTAGAACTTCATCTGAAAGCATAATTTCAGTACCTGCTTCAAGTACATCTGGTTCCCCAAGTCGTGTGATTTATGTAAGTATCCATGGTAAAAAAAAACTTCTTGGAAACAAAATGAGAGCAAAGGAGCGTGAGAGGAAGATGAAAATCACAAGTAAACTGTATGAAAAATTGAGATTCTTATCGATATGAGCATCACCACAAATGGTTAGCATTTTGGAAAATTCAGTTACCTTGAATAAAGCCATCCCCAGCACCTTTGTAGTGTGGGAGAACATTGCACAGAGCCCTTTGCTGGAACTGAGGCTGGAGCATTATGAGTCTTCAATATAATATTTGTGTGAAAACCTCACCGTTTTGTGTGCAAGATTTTCTGGCATATCCTGGTGCAGGATTTGGGCTTTCCCTTGTGATATTTTAACCCCAGGTGCAGCCATATTAAGCGTCTTTCCCCAGGGTTAATGAGGATCAGTCTGCATCCGTTTTGTGGCCGCCCACAAGCTGATCTGCCCCCACAGTGACCTAAATGGTTAATTTTGGTGTACTCCAAGACATGCTCTTTTGTCTGAATCTTCCACTCCAGCAGATTATTCTTTGACGGGGTGACGGGGGAGGCCCCTGGCTCCATGTTGCCTGGGAAAAGTTTATTTGGGAGGAAGAAAGCTCTGGGATTGCTGGACATTCATTGGAGGAAGTGTGAATTGTAGTTTGGGCAGCTGCAGATTGCCTCTCTTCTGACATGAAGCAGAAAGCCAAGATATGGTGATTTTAATATTGGGATACAATATGCAAATTGTAACTTAATTTGTTTGTTGCGGTAAAGCTGGTGAAGATATGTTCAGGCTTCCCAAAAATTCTGAGTGAAAGAAAGAGAGAAAGATGGAAAACACTGTTGGTTCCACTCTCCTTTGGTATTTCTGTGTTAAGACATTCTTCCTTTTTTCCCTGTTATTTTTTTAGGCCAAACTTGGTGATGAAATCCTTGATTACAGAGATTTGGCTGCTCTTCCTAAGAATAAGGCCATCTATGACATAGACCGTCCGGATATGATTTCCTATTCTCCATATATCAGCTACGTGACAGATGAGAGGCACAGTTATGTGGAGGTATTGACATGGCATATGCACATCTCTATGTGTGTGCAGTTAGTTGATCTGAACAATAGAATTATGACTGACTTTCCAATGTTTGTTAGCCATAAGTTCAAGCATTTCAATCCTAACTTGTGTAAGAAAAATGATCCCCAAGTTTTTTTCAATTGAATGTGTGTATTCTTATACATCGTAGGGTTTTGGTTTTTTTTTACATTTGGGTTGTTGTAGGTTTTTTCGGGCTATATGGCCATGTTCTAGAGCAGTGGTTCTCAACCTGGGGTCCCCAGATGTTTTTGGCCTTCAACTCCCAGAAATCCTAACAGCTGGTAAACTGGCTGGGATTTCTGGGAGTTGTAGGCCAAAAACATCTGGGGGACCCAGGTTGAGAACCACTGCTATAGATAGAAGATCTCTCCGCAGATATATAAACCCATTTTCCTAGTTCCAACAGAACTCACTACCTCTGAGGATGCTTGCCATAGATGCAGGCAAAACGTCAGGAGAGAATGCCTCTAGAACATGGCCATATAGCCCCAAAAAACCTACAACAACCCAGTGATTCCAGCCATGAAAGCTTCGACAATACTTTGTTACATTTACTTGCAAAGAAAGCTATGTTTAAACTGTGTTTCATAAAGTAGGTCTGTGACAAAGACTATTCAGCAAAAGAAAACAATATATATGAATATCATGAATATAAACTATGCAGATATTATCAGCGGTCCTTCCCAAACAATCTTTGCAGCCTGTGAACCATTACTTAATAGGGAGAGTCGACATCTTGCAAACAGGAGGGAGATTAACCTCTTCCAAGCATTCCACAGCAACCAAACCAAACCATGACACCCACCTATCTTTTCCTGGGCATAGCTTCTTGGAGAGCTTGCAGAGCCAGCGGGAGAGTGGCTTTGCAAAGATGGATGATATGACAAATGTGCACCCAGCAGACATGCCCTGCAGCCGCCCCGCTTCCTAAAGCCTGCTGTTGCTGTGTGTACATTCACATGGGGGTCCTGTGAGGAAGGACATAACAAGTAATAGCAGCCACTACCTCTCTCCCACAACCTGGACTGCTGTGCAAATTCACATTTACACAGCAACTCTATACTTCAAGAGAATGCCTTTTGTCACTGGCTGCTGTGTTGGCTTTGGGAAGTGGTTGGCAAGGTTAATCACTGGTGCTGTGCTCTCTTGAGTGGGAGAGCACAGCACCATCTGAGTGGGAGCTTTGGGAGAGCAAAGCAGCAGCAATGACTATCACCAACTGCTTCCCGAATATCACATAGCAGCTGGCTTGGGTAAGTGAGAGCACTGGTGAGTGAGAGAATTAGCTCTCCAGCTAGCCCAAGCTTAAGGCTGTTACGTGCACAGCAGCCCCATGCTTTGGGAGCTCTGGCTGTTGGGTGATTTACTGTGAATTTAGCACAGCAAGGGCCGGGCTTTAGCACAGGTTAACCACCAGCTGCGGTAAATCTTGCCAACTGAAAGGTTGACAGTTCACAGCCTGAGTCAGGGTGATCTCCTCGTCTTTAGCGCAACTTCTGCCTATCTAGAAGTTTCGAAAACAGCAATGTGAGTAGATAAATAGGTACCGCTTGAAGCAGGGAGGTATTTAAGGCATCCATAAGGAAATGCCAGAAAAAAATGCTGGTGATTTGATCAAGGAGGAAATTTACGAACAAAAGCTCTTTGGCAGGGAAAGTGGAATGATAGCACCTCCACCCCTAATGGCCAGAACTGAGCACAGCCTCCAAGATGCAGAAGATTGGAAAGCCTATATATACCTCTATCTATGCACAGTTGTCTGCCTTGTCAGTGTATGAGAGAATTGAAAGTTTGCTGCATATGTGTTCTGTGATCCACTGTGAGTCCCCTTCAGGGTGAGATGGGTGGAATATAAATATTATAAATAAATACATGTGGAGTCTTCAGGCTTTAGGATGGAAAGGTGAGGGCTTTGGAAGGCCAGTGATAAATCCACAAATAAATCTACAATGTCAAACATGCAAATGTGTGTGACTGGTGCATGCAGGTGTTAAACGTGAAGAATCTCTGATGGAATTTAACTTTTGTTTTCAGAACAAGATAAAACTATTATTATTATTATTATTATTATTATTATTATTATTATCAAATCTAAAATATGGAATGATGTCAAATAAATACAAATCTGACAATTGTTTTGACTTATAAGTTAACATTCTCCCTTCTCTAATGGCAGTAAAGGTCTTTCATCCCTCTCTTACTCCTAGAGTGACCATGATGACCGGCTTTCCAAGCAGCATCGGATATCAAGCCCTAGTTCCACTAGCTCACTTGGTTATGGTCGCAACACCCCATCTTGCCATTCTCCTCAGAATTACAGCAGACCAGGTAACTGAGAAAGAGGCTCCTTTCCTCTTTCTAATGGTTTTACTTTTTACCTTGATCATGTCGGAGCGGAGGCATTGGGTTTCTGCATGAAGGAAAAAATACAGTTATGTTGTCACCCTGCAATTTATTACACATATCATATATGGTGTGATAAATGAAATAATTCACAACACACAATGAAATTTGTGTGGTGTGATACCTGATAGTATTTTAGAAGAACAGAAGTCTTGGAGCACTGTACTGAAATCCTGTGTATGTAAGACCTATATGAAAAGTGTGGGATTTTTAAAAAGTGGAATAGAGGAATCAAGCATTTGTCACTAACCAATAGGAAACATCTTTGTGTTCTGTGTCCAGAAAGAAGCTGTCGTTGAACACCTGAATGCATTGAGAAATTTCATGTGCTTTTATTGTTGTGTTAATTACATGGGCTTGTTTTTGAAAGGAAAAACAGAGTTCAAATATTTCTACATGAATATTTTTATTTGCCATGTTTAAATTTATAGAGAGTTTGGGTGCATAGTAAGCACCTTTGGAATCCCACACCTAGATCTACTAGAAGGAAAATCTCTTCTAAAGCTACACTTAAATGAAGCTACACATCTACACTGCCATATAATCCAGTTTCCAAATCCAGATTATGTGCTTCAAACTGGATTATAGGGCAGTGTAGATCTGGCCGAAGCATAGGAATTCTAGGTTTTCTGGACATGTTCATCCTCTGAGAGCAGAGTGACGCACATACACACATCATACAGAAATACACAGCTAAAGCACTCTTGAGAAATGAGCCTACAGCCTTGGTTTAAGGACTTCCACTTTAGGAGACACCACCTTCCCAAGAAGCCCATTCCACTCTCAAATAACCTGTAACCAGGAAGTTCATTTGGTGGAGTTTAAATCCCTGCATGATTTGAAAGGCAAAAACAAACAGAAAAAAGAAGATGCATCAATTCTCTGCAGCACTTGTAGTTTTAAAAGTATTGCTTTTTCAGAGGTAAAGAATATAGTGGAATTATTTCCAGTGTTTCTGTGCATTGAAGGCACAGCACAGGAGAAAAATCACTTCTCTTGGCCCATGGTCCAAAAAGATCAGGGACTACTATTGTGCTGTAGTGGGTTGAATTCCCCTCCCCAGGCCATGGGCAGCTGGTAAAAAATGCCAAATGTTCAGACTGAGACAAACCAAACAATAAATAACTTCAAATCGTCTTAGCAGAGGACAGGAGAAGTATTTAAAACTAAATCAAATCTGTATTCTCAAAGAGTTTGTAATGATGTAGCCTTCATTGTGGTCACTGGCTGTGTTGTTGCAACTAGTAGTTGCTTTTGTGCAAAGCACAGAAGATTATAGTTAGAAAGGAATTTTTAAACTTTTAATTGACTTAAACACATGTACACCAACACAGACACATATTTTTCTTTATATAGAATATATGTTACTTTTTAGGAGCAAGTATGAAAACAAGATTGAAACAGGACACCGGCTTTTTATGTCCTGGCAGAATAAAATACTTGGCCGGTAGCTGGATTTGGCCGGGAACATGATAAATTGTGCAGATTGGTGACATAGTACTCAAGACTGAGCAAGGCATCAGCACACAGACCCCAGACAAATGGAAGCCCCACTTGTCCCAATGTTTGAGTGAAAATGTTTGACTTGCAGAAAGAATGATTGTTCTGAACTAGCCAAGCCAAGGGTTACAAAGAGAGATGGCAACAAAAATTGCAGAGATGAAGATATGGGCATGTAGACAGAAAAACTGTTCTCTGGAGATAACTCATGATACCTTTGATGGGGAGGCCAAGTGTCTAAGTAAAATTAAACAAGTCATCAGTGTCTTAACATTTTGCTTGCTTGGCGCCAGGGATAGTCTGCTCATGTTTAAAAGGATAGGATTCCCATGTCTTGGGTTCGCCTTGAAATGAACTGGACCGAATTCCAAGTGATAGAATGGAGATGCTTCCTCCAAAGTGGTGAGGCACAGGCCACAAAGTAAAACACTTCAGTGCCTCATCTTGTTTCTGTGCAAGCCAATGCAAACAAGCATTCGCATTATGAATGGGACACTTTTCCTGCAAGACGACATTTATTTGATATAAGTATTTTGTAGCTTAGTGCATAACTGAGGAGAAGTTTGTTTTCACTTAATTTTCTGTTGCCCCCTAGCTGGTACTCAGACTCTTGGTACCAGTAGCTGCATCTCCTTGCCCCAATACACAAGCCTTACATCTACATTCAGACATCATTACATCCCTTTCTTCAAAGGTAAGGTCGAGGAATGACATTTGTGGTGTGGTAACTGTAGACATCTCCCAAGTGTGGTTTTTCAATGTTGTGTGTGCATGTGCCTCTCTAATGAATAGTTTTTCTCCTCTAACTTTCGTAAGTAACTTCTTTATATATGTTAAAAATCATTTTTCACTGGATATTAAATGATTGTTGATACTTAAAACTCATATGTTTACTTTTTCAAATGGCATAGGATTGTTTCAACATATAAAACCCATAGTAATAATAAACAAAACTGGGCTTCATTTTTCAGAATTTTAATTTACAGTTTTTATATCCTTAGTGGGGGGAAAAGGGTGACCAGTCTCTCAGGAGAAAAGGAACAGCCATGTGATTCTTTCAAGTTCAGGATATTTTTTTGGTATCATTCATTTGTGTCCAGATCTTATATACATAAAATTATAAGTCTAGAAAGCAGATGTTTCTGGCCAGAAAATGAAAAGCTGCAGAAGATTTGTCCTGAAAGGTATCTTGAAATTCAAGTAGTGATTGCACAGAATTCTCAATATCCTTACACACCAGGGAAAGACCTGTAGATATAATTTGTGATCATGTGTGAGTACAAAAGTCCATTGCCAAAACAAACCAAGTCCTGCCAGATTGTCAGGAAAGCCAAGTGCAGGAGATTCAAATCTCCAAAACTGGTAACAGATGCTAGCCAAGTAAACTACGTTGAGAATCCAGCAATTGGGGTAGACCCATAGTTATCAATAATGCCTTATTTTTCACAACAGGAGTTGCTAGTGTTTGAGGTATCTGTGAAGTCTTTTGCTTTAGCCAAAGGTATCTGAACATTGCAGTTCTTTCTTGCCTTTTTGAAAGGCTGGCACTTCTGGAGGCTCAAAGAAAGCTCTGAATTTGCTTTTTGAGCACTTCTAGTTTTGAAAGACTTTTTGGATAACTGGATTTGTCATTGATCCCTGATTCTGTAAGATCCTGTATGGGGCTGCTGGCTAGAGTCCTGAGAACATGCTGTATCAGTGGTTCTCAACCTGTGGGTCCCCAGATGTTTTGGTCTTCAACTCCCAGAAATCCTAACAGCTGGTAAACTGGCTGGGATTTCTGAGAGTTGTAGGCCAAAACACCTGGGGACCCACAGGTTGAGAACCACTGTTGCAGATAAAGCAAATTAACTTCTTTCGTGGAAAATACATCTGAAGAAAAGAGGGAATTGTTATTGCAATCTAAGCCTGTTTGTTAAGGGGATAGGTCCTGCATACCACAACATTTCATAAATAAGCTCCTCTCTTGTTGTGTTGATGTGTTCCTCTAAGTGGTCCACTGAAAATGTTGGGAAAACTTTAGAAAACCACAATTTCCACCCTGTGATTGTACACTTGAGCAAAAGGCAGAAATAGAAACATCACATTTCAAAATGGAAGGCTGGAGTGAAAAATGGATTCAATAAAGGAAGGTCAAAATGAAGGGAAACACATAGGATCCAGCATTATTGTCTCTGGAAACACCAATGTGGAAACTCATCATTTGCCGTAACCATGTAGTGGATAGAGTGACCATATATTTTAATCTCCACACAATCTTCAAAAAGAAGACATAAAATTTACACATTTTACTTTCATCTGTTCAATGGAATAGGAGAAGTGTTTGCGTAGCAGGGGTGAAATTCACAAAAGAGGCCTTCTCATGCTTTGCTTTCTCACTTTCAGCCATGTAAGTATTTATAGAAGTAGGAAAGTCCAAACGCCAAAGTTGATTTGTTAATTTTGTTTAATAGCTCATTAGTAGATGGGAGCTGAATGAGAAGTATGAGTTTTTAAAATCTTTGGCCTACATTTCAGCCAATCTGAAATTGTAGTGGCCGTGGCCCATCTTCACAAATAGGTCAGAGTTGTAGAAGTGTGTTTTTAAAACAAGCTGAAATCAGCTGTTCGATGGAGAGTCGAGAAATGCAGCCGTTGGTCAAGTTATCATCCATCATCCAGTCTTTCTTGAGAAATGGATTGGCAGAATGTTGGGTCCGAAGAGAAGAAAATTGGATATCTGTTTCCAAAACCAGACAGATCAATTATCCTCAAATGGATGGGCCTATGCAACTGTCTCCCACTCTAAAGGCTGTACTAAAGTGTGGAAGTCCATCCACAAACTTTAGTTCATTCTGAGATGCTACGTATTCTCCAAAACAATTTCCATGTCATATGTGGAGGTGTGTGAGGAAGGTGTGTTTCTAATGGATTCATACATTCTGCACCTCAAGGAAGCAAGCATAGACACAGTTTCTCATCAGAAATCCATACAATTATGGACATACATTGCATCCAATAGAATAATAACAAGAGGAATTTGACAGCATGCACATCTTTTAAAAGAGTGCAAAAATACAGGACTGTTTTCTAAAATTCACACCAGACATGTTTTGGTCAGAGGATGCCTATATCAAAAATGCATGTGTGTGGGAGAAAATGCACAGAATAAACGCATCATGACCTTACCAGGAACTTTTACAAGATCAGACTTGACACAGATGTCCATCTCATTCTATCCATTGCTCACATTCAAGTTGTGATAAAGTGTTGTTGTTTTTTTCAAATTAGCTTTAGTTGTACAGTATTTAGAGCCTGTTTTGAGCTTCTGGTTGCTTACTAACACTCTGCATTATTTTATTAGCCCCCACCTTCTTATTGAATTCTTTTTTGTTTGCCCAGATGTTTTATAATGCCATTTAGAGTACAATTTAGACTTGATTCACATAATGGAAATATGAGATGATTTGAAAGGCCACTTGTTAACACAAGAGGAAGTCAATTTGTGCATAAGCAGCAGTACATTCCACAGTTGGATACCTTGGCTATGGCATTATAAACCCATTACTTGATAATCCAATATGTGTATAAAATATTGTGGACATGCTCAATAAAGGACTAACTACATGTCCTAAGGGAATACAAAGCAGAAGCAATCTAACATTATATCAACAAGGCCGTATTTACCATCACATCCTGAAGATATTCCTGAGGAACTTTAGCTTGAAAGAAAATAAAGTTTGTCATCACACTTTTTGTGAGATTATGCTAAAATTGATGGTTCTGTAGCCATCTCTGATTAAGTGAAATTATTACATTTTGTTTGGAAAAAAAACAGTTCTTGCCATGTTATCTCTTGATTATTTTAATTTAGGAATATCCTTTGGAGAGACAAAAGTGGGATACCAATACTATAAATAAATAATAATGAATAAAAATATATTTAATACACGGGAGCCTCTGGTGGTGCAGTGGGTCAAACCACTGAGCTGCTGAACTTGCTGACCGAAAGGTCACAGGTTCAGATCCGGGGAGTGGTGTGAGCTCCCACTGTTAACCCCAGCTTCTGCCAACCTAGCAGTTGGAAAACATGCAAATGTGAGTAGATCAATAGGTAGCGTTCCGGTGGGAAGGTAACAATGCTCCATGCAGTCATGCCAGGCACATGACCTTGGAAAGAATTCTCAATGGAGCCAGGAATAAAGTAATAAAAAGTAGGCAACATATTTCTTAAAAATATGTAAACTCTATTAATCTATAGGTTTTATAAGAAAAAACCTACTAATAAAATTATTTTCAAAATCATCCTTCATTAAGATGGATCTGAACATAACTAATACTAAGTAAAATATAAAACAGAGGGTGGCAAATTCATGTGAAATGACCCTATGGAGAGTAGGAAACCTTTAAAATGCCATTCTGGACATAAAATATGATAATATACAGACTGAGATGGAGGGATACACACTAGAGAATGATTGGGAATGAAGGTATGTGGATAATAAGACAGGAATAAAGAGCTAATAAAAGAGATTCAGGTTTAGTATTGGGAGACGGATCATAATTTTACCATTCTTGGGGTTTTATACTTCTTTACTAAAGGCCCTTCCGGACAAGGTCCTATATTACAGGATCTGATCCCAGGTTTTCTACTTTAAACTGTATTTATGAATCCGCACTGCCAGATAATCTGGGACAAACAGAAAACTTGGGATCAGATCCTGGAATATAGGGCCTGTCTGGAAGGGCCCTTAGTGACTGTTTCCACTCTCTGACTTCTATTCTAAAATATAGTCTTGAATTGTACTTGCTTTACCAACTGCAGTTTCTGCTAATGTGACACTTTTGCTTTGCAACCTTGTATGTCTATTTTCAATAATTTTTAAATGGTTTAATTCAGACTAGGCTTTTCCCTTTTTTATTCCTTGTATATTCTATATTCCATGTAAATTTCTCAATGCTTGGTTCCTCAGTTATACCACTGTGTTCCACTTTAGCAGTCACAATGATTTGTACATTCACCTCTCTCTATCCATGAGCTCATGATCAGCCACTACTGCCACTTGCCATGTCCCCATGGAGGCTGCTCATCACCCTGAGATTGGCACTGCTCTTGCCATGCACAAATGCTGCCACCAATCTCTGAATGGCAAACAGCTTCTGCTATGACATGACAGTTGGTGTGGGCAACAAGTGCCTGTTTGATCATTCACAAAACAATGCCTTCAAACTACAAGAAAGGAGATTCCATCTGAACATTAGGAAGAACTTCTTCACTGTGAGAGCTGTTCAGCAGTGGAACCCTCTGCCCCAGAGTGTGGTGGAGGCTCCTTCTTTGGAGGCTTTTAAACAGAGGGTGGATGGCCATCTGTCAGGGGTGCTTTGAATGCAATTTTCCTGCTTCTTAGCAGGGGGTTGGACTGGATGACCCATGAGGTCTCTTCCAACTCTATGATTCTATGAATTACTGCAGGAGGACAACTGCTGCCTCCAATCACAGAATAGCAAGCAGCAGTCGCAGTGCTACTAATAGCTTGTTCCCTGAAGTTGCTCGAAGGTGGAGATGGGCAGCAGAAGGACACAACTCCATTTTATTAGGGAATTAAGCATTCACATTTTTTTTTACTATCCGTGGGGGGACCTGGAACCAATTCCTATAGTTATTGAGGGCCCACGGTAGTTTGGTGAGTCAATTAAGTTATCTGTCAAAGAAGTCTAAACACCCATCCCTTCATTATAAAACTCAGAATTCCTTAAGATGCTACTGTAATAATCAAAAAAAGACTATAGCACTATCATTGTGCAATATGAAAAGGCCGCTGACCACAACTCATTGTTGGTGTGGCCTATACTCTTAAGTACTCAGATTTCATTTTGGGGACTATATCCATTAATTGCTTCTCAAAGACAAGGGCTGCCCTATAAAAAGTGAGTGAATGAAGCATGCAGATTCCATACTGAACATTTAGTATGGAGAATCCTCGAAAGCAGGACATCTATGTTTTTTATTAATCAAGGGATTAATAAAGAAGTCCAATGCTTTCCAGGATTGCTGTATGATCCAACAGCACTGGCCTTGAAGTAAAGTGAGATAATGAATTATTTTGCAGATATAGATCCACCCTAAAGCCCCTCCTTGACCCTAGTGAAGGGGTGAGGGTCCTAATTAAGCCACAGGCCTCAAGAGCACTCCTTAAAGCCACTGTGGTATGCCTGCCTCATTCCCCAATTGGGGAAGGTAAGGGGATTTCGCTGAAAGGGCTTCATTCATTGCTTCCCGTTCCCAAAGAATGAGGGGGAAGAATGGGTAAAGCCAGCTGTATCTCTGTAGGTTCCATGTACACACCTTTATGCATCTGTATTTTTTGAGTTGGATAAGTGGATTGGGAATGTTATGTGTTCCAACAGCATGACTGAGTCAGCTTGCCTGCAATGCCCAAGTGGAAATAGCAAAGTGCACTATGCATGTGTGTGCACATGCATGCATGTGCAAGTGTGTATGTCTGTACGTGTGTAGGTCGGGTGGAGGGGAATGTCCTGATTTTCCAGTACTTCTATTTAATTACAAGCTGTCCAGAAAAGCTCCAAATCAGTCAAGCTCACCACATTCTTCAACTCTTAGCAGTTCCTGTTTCCATGGACCACTGCAGATAGAACATTAGACGCACAGCTGCATGCCATGTCTCCGGGTTTTTCTTCTCTAAATAACAGCTCTCTCTTTGTGTCTGTGTGTGTTTATATGTATGTGTGTGTGTGCGTGAGGGAGGGAGAGAGATCAAGGCATAAATTCCCATTGAAAATCCCCCATCCTTAAAGCTTCTTAATCCCCTCCTAGCCTTCTTATCCTCCCAACCATTATTTAGCCAAAAGAAATTTGACATTTTAAATGCAATCCCACATTTAACAGCACATGAGCTTTGGTCCCATACTCAAATTGGGTCAACTGAACCAGCCAATCATGACTCACCTGCAGAGTTCTGTTGTGCTTCCAGGCCCTTGGACAGAGGTGGGGATCACACAGCCCCTCAATTGCTGTTGAATTGCAATTTTTAGGATTGTGCTGACTAGGGCTAGTCAAATGTGCTATTCAACAATATTGGAAGAGTCACATAATTCCCACCCCACTACTTTGGACTGGATATCCTAACGTCTGTTTACCACTCCCCGGGCCACTTCTGTTACCACTTCTGGGCCAGCAAATAAGAACTAGGTGGTTTTATATGTTCCTATGAACTGATTAGCTGGGAATCCTCTGCCTTGTACATGCAATATTCCAGATGAATGTTCTTCAGGAGAAGGTGCAGCTCAGATTGGTAAAAGCTTGGGAACAAATTCTTCATTAAGGCATTTAAAACCATTCTGTACAATGTAGCTAAATATAAGAAAACTAACTTCTATACAGGATCTGAGTAGTACTGCAAAATTAAGAGGCTAGAATATTGACAAATAATTTGGGCTATCATAACCATTTCAAAAAACCCTGTTGGATTAACAAGTTATTTTGAAAAAAAAAGCCTTTTTATGCTTGAATTTCTCTACTTTGCTTTCCATTTTTTGTTTTATGTGCTTTTTTATTTGCTCTTCTCCTTGGAGGCAGTGAAAGTGGTCGGAGCACTCCAAGCTTATCCATGTATTCAGAAAGCAAGTCTTCACCATCTTTCTATCAGCAAGCACCTAGACATTTTCATGTTCCAGGTAGGCATCCATTGCTTAGCTTTTATCTTTATTTGCTGCTATTTCGAATATTTTACAGTTGTAACCATGTTAAAAAAACCCAATATGATGTTAGCAGTATTGAGAAATTTGATTAAAAAAATACCTGGTGTCAAATATCTAGTATATCAGACTGCTTGGCATATAGAGACCTACAGGGCACTGAAATAAAAAGGATGACAATTAGAGCACAAATGGTGGAAAACTCAACTTCCATGTGACAAGACACAATATAGAGGATCTCTTTATTCCTATAAGGTAGCAATATGTGCTATAGATTGCGTCTGCGAATTCATGTCCAGCTGAAGTTATTGCAGCAAAAGTTGATAATGAGGTGTCCAGCAACTCTGTGAGCAGGACTACAGTGGATCCGTTTCAGTTTGTGAATACTACTAATGTGGACTAGCTGCTGAGGTAAATAAGGAGGACAACCTGTTTTCTCAATCTCTGCCCCTCTTGACTGGTTGTCCATGGAGGATGTGCAATTTTATCTCAAATACAACATGTTATTAATGCATCTTTCAGGGAAGGGGACTGTTTATCCTGTTTAAAAGAAGCATTAGTTAGACCGCTGTTGATAAAACCCTCCATGGATTCCCTGGACATTAATAATTACCAACCAGTTTGTAATCTTCCTTTTTTGCATGAGATTATCGAGAAGGCAGTTGCCCTCCTACTCCAGGTCTTGGATGGCACATATTTACTTGACCCATTTCAAACTGGCCTCAGAGCATCTTGTAGAATTGAGACTGCTATGGTTTATTTAGTGAATGATCTCCATCTTAGCACTGACAAGAGGAGTATTTAGCTGTTGGTGCTTTTAGATCTCCTAGTGACATTCAATACCATTGACTATAGTATCCTTCTGGTTTTGGAATTGGAAACACTGTGTTGCAGTAGTTCTGGTTATACCTCTCTGGCAAATTCCAGATGATGGTGCTTTAAAAAAGAAGCTGCTATGTGGTATTCCACAAGGTGCCATTCTATCCCAAGTCCGTTTTGACATTTGAATGAAAACGCTACAAGAGGTCATCTAGAGCAGTGGTTCTTAACCTGTGGGTCCCCAGATGTTTTGGCCTTCAAGTCCCAGAAATCCTAACAGCTGGTAAACTGGCTGGGATTTCTGGGAGTTGTAGGCCAAAACACCTGGGAACTCAAAGATTGAGAACCACTGATCAAGCGGCATGAGAGGAGATTCTGTCAGTACACACATGACATCCAAATACATTTCTGCCATCCCTTCAAAAGCAGCCTTAACTAAGGATAGTGTGTCCCCTGTGAATTAATGCCTGGAAGATGTAATGGTTTGGATGAAGAAAAGTACACCTCCACACAAAGAGGTGCTACTATTAAGGGTCCTAACCTGAGGTTGTAGGTATGTCAGCCAGTTCTGGATTTGGAGTTCTCCTGGATTCTTTTCTCCAAATGTGAGCCCAGATAGATGTGACCATCAGGAGTGCTTATTGTTAGCTTTAGCTGCTCACCTTTCTAGGATTAGAAAACCGAAAGATAATAGAGCAGTCACTGGTAACCTCAAGGTTAGACTTCTGCAATATGCTGTACAGTGGGTGACCTCTGTACCAAGTTTGGAAACTTCAAACTATGGCATGCAGATTGGTTGCAAATGTCATCTAGGAGTGACCTGCACTAAAATCACTCCACTGGTTGCCAATTAGTTTCTGAGCAGTGTAGAAAGTGTTGGTCATTATCTTTAGAACCCTACATGGTTTGGGTCCAGGTTACCTACAGAATCTGCCTTATACGCTTAAGTTCTCTGGGGGATATTTACTTCAACCATTTAGAACTGTTACAGCTGTCTCCCAGAGGACCTTTTCATTGGCCACCCCTAGACTGTGGAATGATCTGCTGGAAGTGATTCCACAGCAAAATGAGCTGTCAGAACTTAATCACAATTAAAGACTGATCGTATCTCTTCTGGAAAGCCTACCCAGTCAATTTAAAAGTATGGATTTAAATCTATATTTTCTAGGTATGGATCTTTTACTCTTTATTCTACTTTTAAAAAATTAATGGCTTTAAGTTATCTGTGTTTTTTTAATTATATTGTACCCCACCTCAAGCCATGAGGAGAGGCAGGTAACAAATACAAGTTGTTGTTGTTGGTTGTTGTTAATAACAACAACAACAATATACAGATATTTACTTCTGTGACCAATCCCTAACTGAACACTATCACCATTACAAAGTGACAACTACAAGGAATGTAACAGGATCTCATAGCATGATATTTCCAAATTGTGCTGCAATACCTTTTGAATGTTGGCAGCGGTAATTGCAGAGCTTTCTCATAATTCCTGACCCTCAGATTTAGACTGAGACAACATTTTGTAGGAAAGAATGTGATGAAAGGTATAATCGTAGAGCTTCCATGAAAGCTCAAGTTTGAGCATAAACTCAGTAAGAATGACTAAAATCATTTTGGCTCTACACCTAGTTATTCAAATTGCATTTTATCAGAGGAGGAAAGATTTTTGAATTGACCCACTTTTAGCTGCCATGGCTCAATATTGTGGAATCTGGGGGTCTTTAGTTTGTTGATGCACCATCACTCTTTGGAACAAAAGCATTGAGCTATGCAGCTAAAATGCCATCAAACCGCATTCATCCTCCAGTGTAGCTGCACCCACAATAAACTTGACATTGACATTGGCCTCAGTCCCAGGGGTCTACTTTGGAGGCAGCTTTTGTTCACAGAAGGAGGGTTCTGTGGTACTGCTTTTGTTAACTAAGCAGAACATAGGGCTCTAAAGTCAATGACATTCATCAAGATACAAAAGTGGTTGGAAAGCTTTGAAAGTGTTCAAAGTAAGAAGAATCATATTTCATCTGTTTGCTTACTGTTTGGCTTTTCCTTTTCCTCTTCCTTCTTCTCCCTCTTCTTCTTCTTCTTAGACTCTGGAGTAAAAGATAACATCTATAGGAAGCCCCCTATCTACAGACAGCATGGTACAGTCTGCTTTTCTCTGCTGTAGTGTGCTCTAGCCAGGTCCTTTCCGCTCCTTACGCATGCTAACTCTGAATGTGTGCTGCCTTTTCGTTCACATTTGGTTATAATGCAACTCTGATTGCATGAAAGTGTGTCCAGATAGACAGACGTTTTGTTTGTCCTTGTGTAGCTGGCTATTGATAGAAATTAGCATGTGTCTTCAAAAGTCTGCTTCAGTCCTAAATTCAGGTTATTTTCCCCAAAATCTTGATAAATTACATGTTTGGTAAGCTTAACTTGGATGGTAGAGTTGTGCTTCTCTCTCTTCGTTTTCCTTGTCCATGTATGAGAAGCTTTACATACTCTAAGCTGGGTGTGTAGTCTAAAGTACTGTGTTTGCTGCGGGTTCATTTACAACATAGATGCTTTTAGAACATGGCCCAAAAAACCTACAACAACCCTACAATATAGATTCTCTGCTATAGAACGCAATGATAATTTTTGCCTGGGAAAGACTTCCTGAAATCTTAGTGGCCAAGAAAATGCAATAAATCACATGGGAATAGGGAAATGAGTGATGCCGTAACCCATCACACAACGCAGGGCTACTTCTGGTGGGGCTCTGTCTTGACTATGTCCTGGAAGTGTCCTAGGACAGAGCCCTGTGAACACAGGTGGCTACAACAGCGTCAGCATGTGCGGAAGCTGGGTGGTGACACTTTCGCCTGTGTGACGGGGAAGGCGGCGATGTGGGGGATTGGCGGTGGTTTCTTCTGCTGCCCAATGGATTCACCATGCTGCCTGACAAATTCCCCCACTGTCACCCATGTTAGGACCTCTATCTGATGAGGTCCTAGGAGTCATATGTTTGTAACTTGCGTACCGCCTATATTATAAAAACAACTTTGTGAATGCACTGTGCAATTTTAGTATTATTTCTTCAATGTTTTTCCAGTTGCTTGAGGATCTCGGTTGTTTGAGTTCTGGTTAATTGAGTGTGTGTATGTGTGTATGCATGCCTCATATGTGTATGTGTGTGTCCTGTGTGTGACAGCATTGCTTGACTGCTTCCCTGTGAGTATTCCCTGTTGGCTCTGCTCTTTCCCATCAAGGGAGCAGCTTTAGGATTTCCCTTCTTGGGCACAATGATAGGCTACAGCTAATGAAAGTCTGGTTTCTTTGCTACTATAAAAATGCATGAGCCATATCTTCTTTCACACATGACCACCCTACTCCCACCACTTGAGGAAGTATTCAGTCTGAAAAACTATTTTAGGCTTCAATATTCATGTTTATGAATATTACTCACCCAGAACCTCCTATCTCATTTGGACTGCATGTGGAGACAGATTAGCTGAAATAATGTTATGCTGTGCCCATTGTCACATGGCATTTTTCTCTCCTCGTCTCTTGAAAGCAGACATAAAATGCCCATAAGCATACATTGTTTGTATATTGATTTTATATTTACTATCCATGACAGCACTCTGTAAATCTGTCTTTTGCTCATTCATACATATAAGATGTTAGGTTTAGATACACTTTTTTAAAAAAAACAGTATCTTTTCATGCTAGATTTTTTTTTAACTCTGGTAAATTTTATTTATTGCTAGCATCAAGAAAATCAGATGGTGACAGCAGTGATCAAGACAACAGAAAGGTAAATGTAGATGGCAATGGAAGAATTATTTGCTAACACCAGAGTCTAACATTCAAACCAATGCAACATGCTAGTTCACAAACAAGATATATTGACTTCTTTTAAAGTATAACAAGGAGCATTTGGTCTTCGGAAATGTGATTGTCACTTTTTGGAATTTGCTGATATTTTTAATGTGTTGCTCATAAAGCAGCATGTTTAGGGATAGCTGTGTTGGCCATGCAGCAAAATACAACTAAATTCACAAAGGAACAATATTTTGAATAAGACTCTAACAAGTAATATTTACTGTGTTACTTTTTTTAAAACAACATTTCCAACCTCTCTCCCAGTCCAGGTGTGCTTCTTATCCCAGACCCTTCCCGTTGTGCCTCATGCCCTTTCTACACTGCCATGTGACCCAGGTTATCAAAGCAAATAATCCAGATTATCTGCTTTGAACTGGATTATATGAGTCTACAGTGCCATATAATCCAGTTCAAAGCAGATAATCTGGATTTTATATGGCAGTGTAGATGGGACCTTAGTTTCCGTGTCAGTGCTGCAGATACTCTGGATTTTAGTTTGAACTTTAAAGATTTTGGAATAAAGTTCAACACCTTTGTAGTTTAGAGTAGATGCACTGACATAGAAGTCATCACAACCTCCTGTCCATATGTCTGGTAACTTCAAATGTCATTTGCACTTCCTCAGGCTCAAATAATCTATCACACTGCTCTTCGTGCATCATTGTCACTACATTAGGGTAAACCGGCAGTAAAAAGTCTAGAGTTGAGACAGTTTACTACACTGTGCAAAGTGAGAACAAGAGGATTTCCCGAGGAAGTTAAGGTAATTTAGAAAATAGCCAAGCAAGCCCAAATCCTGCAAGTGAGCATTTAATTTCTACTAAAACTGTATACTGCTGACTTTACATGTATGTTTGCTTGCCTGCGTGAACTGACTTGGAATCATGAAATATGTAACATTGGGATTTTTTTGTTCAGCTTAAGTCAAGTTGGCTGACTTTGAAGGAGGACGTGGATGCCAGAACAATTTCTCCTGATTTGGATACTCAGTCACTCCCACAAAGTCCCGGAATGGACAGAGAACTTCAACGGTTAAACAACAATGCAAACTGTACCTACCTAAGTAAGCACTCCCCCATCTTCAGTTGTGGAAAGACATTGGGTTGCAGTCTAATTAATGCAGTTACTTCAGAAAGATAAGCCTATAGCAGTGATTCTCAACCTGTGGGTCCCCAGTTGTTTTGGCCTTCAACTCCCAGAAATCCTAACAGCTAGTAAACTGGCTGGAATTTCTGGGAGTTGTAGACCAAAATACCTGGGGACCCACAGGTTGAGAACTACTGAACTAGAACATCCACTGATTTTGGTGTCTATCAGGAGGAGGAACAACTGGGGACCCACGGGTTGAGAACCACTGGCCTGTAGCAATGTTATACAGGAGGTCCCTGATGGGAAGTCTCACATTTGACCACGTCAACATGCAGCCAAGAAGGCAAGCATGAAACTCAGTAGTGCCGCTAGAAAGAAAGCCTGATTGCAGCAAGAGAAAGTGCCTATTTTCTTGAATTATTACTGGATTCATACAACACACAACTTTGGAAACTGGCATTTTCTCTCTCTGAAAGAATGTGCATTAATAGTGGGCAAGGACATGCTTTTGTCCACATATTTTCCCTTTTTTGGCTGAAAAAAGAGGGACACTATTTAAGAAGATCATAGGTAAGATGGAATTCTCATATCTGGCGATATTAAGATTATTGTGACTGGTCGCCAAAATTATTTAGCTGTTTTACTAATAGCCTTTTTCAATTTTGTAAACTATATGCCTTGCTCACTTGTTGATTTTGTAAATTATCGGCTTAGCTCACTCATTTTAGTATTAGGTTTTTCATTTCCCAATTCTCTAATTGCCCAATGTATCCTGTAGTATTTTGGAAATTTGAAAGGATTATAAATAATTGGCAGAATTGTTAGTACAATTACACTATGTTACAAAATTTGGAGAAAATCTATTTGAAAGCATTATTCCTGTTTAATTGTGCAGAACTTACTTTGAAAGTAGTTGTTATACTCCAGAAACTTCCTTTTTTTGACTGCCAAAAACTATGTTGAATTGGTTGAGACTTGATGAGATATTCATTGAAAAACTATAGCAAAATGTACTGCAGGATGTCCTGCAAAAATAAAGTTTTTGAAGTTGAATAAACTTTTTCTATGTTTCAATGATAGAACTCATTAAGTAATGACATTTACAAACCAGGAAAAAAATTGTGCTGCACAGTGTTATCAGTAGCAAATATTGGTAGAGTAGTGATCTAGAAACATTGGTAGAATAGGTACCAGCATCACCACCTCCATCTGGCATGTGATTGAATATAGTTGCCCTTAAATGTCTTTTAAAGAAAGCTCTCTATTGGAATGTTGAGGATCTTAAAATATGTTAAAATGGGAGCATGAAAAAGGAGCATGCTTGTGTGCACTCCCTTGCTCACTTAATTGTTTGCTCAGGCAAACTGAGAGGAAGGAGAGAGGACTAGTGTCTAGTGTCTAGTGTCTAGTGTCTAGATCTAAGGAAGTAATGCTACCCCTCTATTCTGCTTTGGTTAGACCACATCTGGAATATTGTGTCCAATTCTGGGCACCACAACTCAAGAGAGATATTGACAAGCTGGAATGTGTCCAGAGGAGGGCGACTAAAATGATCAAGGGTCTGGAGAACAAGCCCTATGAGGAGCGGCTTAGGGAACTGGGCATGTTTAGCCTGAAGAAGAGAAGGCTGAGAGGAGATATGATAGCCATGTATAAATATGTGAGAGGAAGCCACAGGGAGGAGGGAGCAAGCTTGTTTTCTGCTTCCTTGGAGACTAGGACGCGGAACAATGGCTTCAAACTACAAGAGAGGAGATTCCATCTGAACATTAGGAAGAACTTCCTGACTGTGAGAGCCGTTCAGCAGTGGAACTCTCTGCCCCGGAGTGTGGTGGAGGCTCCTTCTTTGGAAGCTTTTAAGCAGAGGCTGGATGGCCATCTGTCAGGGGTGATTTGAATGCAATATTCCTGCTTCTTGGCAGGGGGTTGGACTGGATGGCCCATGAGGTCTCTTCCAACTCTTTGATTCTATGATTCTATGATTCTAGGACTGGAAGCCTGTTGAGGTGAAGCATAGGAATGCATTTTCCCATGTGTACTATCACACATTCAGGTGTGAGTGGGTTGATGGGGGAACATGAGCAAGGAAGATGGGTGGTGTGTGGGTCTCCAAGGCAAACAGATGGAGTGCCTGTGCCTCTGCTGTAAGAGCAGCTGCCACATTCCCTTCCCACTACCCTTACCCTCCTCCCACTGCTGCCACCCTGACTTTCTTTCTCCCCTCTCCTTTTCCAGCCCCCTCCACATGCCCCACAGAACCATTTAGCATCCCCCTTCTCTCCTTGAATCCCTCCATCCTGTCCCTTTCTTCCCTGCCCACCATCTAAATGAGGGAGTGAGCATGCAAGGAAATTCATGCATGCACCCTTCCTCCTCATGCTCCATTTCCCATTTCCTTCCTATCCATATGCCCAATCAAGTGAGCAAATGAGTAAAAGAGGAAATAAACACAGACACACACACTCCCTATTTGATCATCCCATCCTCTACCCATTGGCTTCACCAAACATGAGCCAATATGGACACCAGTGTTATCAGAATCCTTGTAAAAATGGTGTAGGGGAGTAGCAAATAGTTCATGGAATAATAAAATCTGTGAAGGTTTTGCAAATGTAGTGGAACAACTATAATTGTTATGCATTTAATGAAGAATCTTGTTTTGTTTTGTTTTTTTCCTCTCTTGTAGGGTTTCCATATTCCAAATCTGCTTCACTTCCTGACTATGGCAAGAATGGGTTACATCACGTAAGTAGACATTTATTTATTTATTTAAAGCATTTATAGTCCGCCCTTCTCACCCTAAAGGGGACTCAGGGCGGAGCACAACATATAAACGGCAAACAAAAGGATTCAAATCACATATCTCAATGTTAAGATCCACTAGTTAAAACTGTCTCAACAACCATATCGAATTTGGTTGGCATACTAAGGGTTCCTATCGCTGCCTCATTGCACAGTCCCGAAGGCGCGGTTCCACAGCCACATTTTTATCATCCTTCTAAAGGACAAGACGGAGGGGGCTGACCTGATCTCATTAGGAAGGGAGTTCCATAGCCGAGGGGCAATTACTGAGAAGGCCCTGTCTCTCGTCCCCATCAAATGCGCCTCTGATGGTGGTGGGATCAAGAGCAAGGCCTCCCCATAAGTTCTTAATCTCCGCGGTGGTTCATAAGGGTAGATGCGTTCGGACAGGTAAATTGGGCCAGGGGCATTTAGGGCTTTATAGGCCAAAGCCAGCACTTTGAATTGTGCCTGGTAGCAAACTGGCAGCCAGTGGAGCTGGCGTAACATGGGAGTTGTGTGCTCCCTGTACGCCGCTCCAGTTATTATGTCTAAAAACATATGCCATGCAATATTTTATCAGACTGACTCTCCACCCTTTGGTAACTGGGCAGAGCGTCTATCCCTGTGTTTCCTCATCCTAAGGGGCCACATGCAACCTCGCTGGGATCCCAGTTGGCCTCTGGCTCATTTGGGCTCAACATTGGTTGTCAGTGGCTCTTGCAAGCATGAGACAGCGATCCTTCCTAGAATTAAGTTTTTATCTTCTTTTTTCTCAGATATAATAAGGATTGAACTAGGCATATGTTCTGTCTCTGAGCATCACTGCTCTCTAAAAACCACATGAGAAGGGTTTCTCTTCAGTCCTATATATGTCAAGCAGGGATTGGTTATTTTCATTGTTTTAAGTATTTTAAAATATTTTAATTGACTTGCATGTTTAATTTTATTTTAATACTAGTGTTATATACCCAGCATTGTCTGGATTTTCATTTTTTTTTATTAATCATTATTTATTTAAAACATTTATATTCCACCCTTCTCACCCTAAAGTGGACTCAAGGCAAAGCACAGCATATATACAACAAGCATTCAATGATGGGACAAGAATTTTTTTCATGGTTATTTCTTTCCTTCCTCCCTTTCCATCATACACCTTATTTGTTTCTTTCCTTCTTCCCTTGTTTTTCCTCTCACATCTTCCCCTTCTTGCTTCTTTCTTTCAGTTCTCTATCTTCCTTTTTTGTGCTTCCTTTTTTCTTCCCTTCCTTCTTTTGTTTCTTTTATTCCTTTCTTACTCTTCTATCGACACAACAATTGGAAGGAACACATCTTATTTTAAATAAGTATTATTCTTCCTGGCGTTTTGCATTAACGTAATCTACCTTTTTAAAAAAGTGAACCTACTTGCATAACTTATTACATAACAAAAAGATTTTGTCACCAAATCAAATCCAGCAGTGTAAGTGGCTCAGATCATAGTTTGACCTCCAAAATGGCAATCGGCCATACATGTAGTCAATATTGCCATTCCATGAACATTTTCGTGCATAACCTCAGTGGCTAATAACCATTGTAGTATTTACTTTTAAATCACAATTACAGTTTCTCAAGTCACTTCTGACATGATAAAAAAACTCATTACATATTTATGTCATTAATTATGTAAAATAGAACCTCATGCATCATTTGCCTCCTAATCTGTCATAGTATTCTTCTTCAAGGGAAACTGTACTTGAGCTTACAAAAATAGATGAAATAATGAAAGGAAAAAGTTGTAACCAAGACAGGTAAAAATGTGACATAAATAAGCAAGCAAGCATTTGAACTCCACAAATGTTAATATTTTGCCAAAACAAGTTATATTTTTCGTTCTGATAGGCTGCCACTATGAGCCAATATGATGCTGACCAGGATGCTGCTTGGGGAAAAAGAGGTATTGTACAGTGTCATTCTATCAACACAGTTATCTCATTTTTGACAATAGTTACCTAAAAAATAATTATGTCTTAAGTTCTCAAAATAAAACCTATAGACAACAGGAATTAAATTAATTTGCCAATAATGTGTATTTCTTTTTATCTTACAGAATACAAGGTAAGGATCATATGAAGAACAGAAGAACTTCAAAATCATCCTCAAATAGGCCTCTAGCATTAGAGAATAAAATAACTGCAATAATAATAATAATAATGACAACAACAATAACAACAACAACATAACAACTTTAGTTATAACCTGCCCTATCTCCAACAACAACAGCAGCAGCAGCAACAACAACAACAACAACTTTATTTATAACCCACTCTATCTCCCCAAGGGGACTCAGGGCTCAATAAAAGATGGCAAAAATTCATCGCCATAAAACAATACAAAATGAATAAATAGCCCCATGAATAAAACATTTATAACAAATTACAACGACTGCTCACAAAGTTTAAATAATAATAATAATAATCTTTATTTTTACTTGCCCTCTAAGTGGGAACATGATTGAAGTATTAAAGAAAAAAGTGTGTGTTGCATGCAACCTTTCCTACTGCCCTCTTATGAATTGTGGTATTGCCAGTTTTGAAGAGTAAGGCGTTTTGCAGACACAGCAATAAATAAATAAATAAATACGGTAAATAAATCTTACCTTGAATTGACCTTTTCCAAAAAGGTTTGGTTTATTTCTTTTAAATTCTTTCTTTTATTCCATGTTAAATTAATACATCAAGTGTAGTACAGACTTGGAAGAGAAGGTCAGTGCTCAACAATTATGTGTTGAGCTTCTTCAGTACATCAGAATTGAAAACAGGGAGAACTGACCCTACAGAACCAACAGAAAGAAACTACTAAAGGAAAGGGAGAAGCCTGTAATAATAAGGAAACTCCCAGAAGTAGTAGACAATACGGAAGGAATTCAGAACTGCTCTGATGGAAGAATGGCATCCTATGTCTTCATGAGGATACAGCAGTAAAGATACCCAATGAAGAGACAAAGGACAGAAAGATGGTGAGGTCTCTTTTCTGTGGATGTCTTTAGGAAGAGGTTTAAGGCTATCTTCTGTGGATGCTCTAGGTGGATTTCTGTGATTCTGTTACTGTGATGTAAGAATGTACCAAATGCATGTAACAATTACCTTGAGGAAAATTTGATTTTCTAGGTGTCCTGATTTTTCTTTTGTTACAGGTCTATCCATATGAAAGCCTTATTGTAACAAACAGGGTTCGAGTGAAATTACCAAAGGATGTGGATAGAACCAGGCTGGAGGTAAGAAAGGCATCTGCATATACATTTTAAAATGTCAAAGCCATAAATATTCTAATTCTAATGTGCAAAGCCTCTGAATTTCAAATAGGATTGACTCATACATATTTTACAACATTTCAAAATAAGTCATTGAATTTCTAATTCAGCTGTCTTCGTAAGGATGTTGATTCTGTTGTGCTGAAGGAAGAATCAGAGAAGTCACAAATCCTTCCCATCTCATTCGCCCTCTTCTCAGCCTGAAATTTATTTTTGCCTTAAAACAATAAATTCCCTGAGTCTTGGAGTACTGAAATGGTCGAACCCCAGGAATTGTTTCCAGGAGGGGATATTTAGAGATACAGATGTCAGGAAATGACTTTCTGGATCCAGAATACTGTATATCAGGCCTGCAAAACTTGGCAATCGTAAGGGGATGAAATTAAAATAAGTGAAATTTCAATGTGTTGTCAAAAGCTTTCTTGGTTGGAATCACTGGGTTACTGTGAGTTTTCCGAGCTGTATGGCCATATTTCAGAAGCATTCCCTCCTGAAGTTTCACCCACATCTATGGCATGTATCCTTAGTGGTTGTGAGATCTGTTGGAAACTAGACAAGTGATGTTTATATATCTGTGGAATGTCCAGGGTGGGAGAAAGAACTCTTGTCTGTTTGAGCGAGGCAAGTGTGAATGTTGCAATTGATCACTTTGATTACCATTGAATAGCCTTGCAGATTCAAGGCTTGGCTGCTTCCTGCCTGGGGGGAATCCTTTGTTGGGAGGTGATTAGCTGGTCTTGATTGTTTCACATTCACACTTGCCTCAAACAGACAAGAGTTGTCGAAGGCCTTCATGGCCAGAATCACTGGGTTGTTGTAGATTTTTTCGGGCTATATGGCCATGTTTTAGAGGCATTGCCATAGATGCAGGCGAAACATCAGGAGAGAATGCCTCTAGAACATGGCCATATAGCCCGAAAAAACCTACAACAACCCAGACAAGAGTTCTGTCTCCTACCCTGGACATTCCACAGATAATACTGTATAAAGCCCACTTGCCTAGTTTCCAGCAGACCTCACAACCGCTGAGGATGCTTGCCATAGATGTAGGCAAAACATCAGGAGAGAATGCTTCTGAAACATAGCTATACAGCCCAGAAAACTCACAGCAATTAAGTGAAACCTCTTCAGGCTGTGAACAGACTTTTAGCACCACATTTTCCAAAAGCAAAGGTATAATTAATAAATTAACTATTGTGCAACTATTATAAACCATATTATAAAACAGGAAGTTTTAATGAATATCAATTCATTAAACTTGTTATGTAAGATTTTGATTCATTATGAAATCACATTAATGTAAAAAAAAATTACCCTGCTAATTACCTAAGCAATTAGAAAACCTGAAAATGCATTCAAGCGTGTACCAATTAGCAATCATGAGTTTTTAAAAATAATTAACATTAGAAAATGCATACCCAGAATACACTGGGTATATAAGCATGTTCTTAAATATTAGAAAAAGCCAAGGGACAAGGGAAAACCTTGCCCCTTTGCCAGCTTCATGCCATACTCATGAGAACTGTGCAAGGCTGGCGAAGGGCCTGGGCTTCCCCTCCTGCCTTCTGCGAGCTGCAGGGAAGACCTTTGTGGACCACATCCAGCTTGCAGGCCAGATGTTGTGCGGGTCTGCTGTATATGATCCAGACTGATTACTGATGCAGGAAATATTGTAACACACAATTCCTTAGGTGTCTGATATTCTGAAATAAATAATCAGGCAAAATAGAGAGGTTTGATGATTCCAAGGACTTGGGACACAGCTTTTCCAAATACCAGAGAGGCTGTTGTAATGGCTCTTCATTGCTGTAAGTAAGTTGTACAATAACTGCAGTAGCTGGGCAGCTTAGCAGCCACAAGAATTAATTTTAAGCAAGTTGCAAACAAGTGTTACTAGGATTTCTCTTGCAATGATGATCTCAGGTGCAGAGGTAAAACAAGATATTAAATAACAAATGATTGACTGTTATGTTATGGAAATGATGTCCCATATAAGTATTGATTCTAATAAAGTCTAAGGCCTTTCTACACTGCCCTATATCCCAGGATCCAATCCCAGTTTATCTGTTTTAAACCAGATTATATGACTCTCCATGATGAGTAGGTATACAATTTCACATGACTGTTTAGATGATAATTCTGTCATTAGAGTAGACGTCCCCCCTTTGTGGGAAAGCTTGACTCCACAACCCCTGCCATGATGAGTACTACTCCGCATATTATCTGCTTCTCTCTTTTATCTTGTCTGACTTTTTAATTAGTTTTAATTTAGTTGTTTTTAATAATTACATGTGGCCCGCCCATTGTTTCTGTGTCTGTGTTTATTGTGATTTTTACATTGTTATGCATTCAGATGTTCTATGTAATTATGATTTTGTTTATTGTTTGCCTTTTCGGTTGTGTTTTGGTTCTTTTTATTCTAATTGTTTTTCGGGCCAAGCCCCATGTAAGCCGCTCCGAGTCCCCATAGGGGAGATGGTGGTGGGGTAAAAATAAAGTTTATTATATTATTATTATAATCAGGAATAAAGGGGCTGCAGTGGCGCAGCGGATCAAACCGTTGAACTGTTGAATCTGCTGACCTAAAGGTTGGCAGTTCAAATTTGCAGGTCAGGGTGAACTCCCACTGTTAGCCCTAGCCCCTGCCAAACTAGCAGTTTGAAAACATGCAAATGTGAGTAGATCAATAGGTACTGCTTCGACAGGAAGTTAATAAAAGGTGCCCGTGCAGCCATGCTGGCAAGGTAGCCAGGTGGTGTCTGTGGACAACTGGAAATGGAATAAGAGCACCTCCTCATGGCCAGAGTTGAGCACCACCTCCAGAAGCCAGAGATGCGAGGGGAAGCCTTTACTTTTGTCCTGTGTATTTGTGTATATTGTATGTTTGCCTATTTGTTTATGTCGTAATCTGCTCTGAGTCCCCTCGGGGAGATAGAACACGAGACAGGGCCTTTTCTGTGGTGGCCCCCTGACTCTGGAACACCCTCCCCAAAGATCTTAGACAGGCCCCTACATTGGCAGTCTTCAGAAAGAACTTGAAGACCTGGCTGTTCCGATGTGCCTTCCCAGAATAGGAACCCTCCAACAACAAGTCCCATAAGCACTTTATTAGAACCAAGATTGTTGCACATCGCACTCTGCACTTGCCCTATAACGCCTTATATACCACCTGTCACATCAGCACTTTTAATCTTGTACCCATTACTCTGGCCCGGCCCAGTTTTATTGTGTCTTAGTGTATTGTTTATTGATAGTTGCTTATATTGCTTTAACTGTCTTAATTTTGCTTTAGGTGTATTGTTATGTTGTGTATTGAGGCCTTGGCCTTTGTAAGCCGCATCGAGTCCTTCGGGAGATGCTAGGAAAGGTAAAGGTAGTCCCCTGACATGAAGTCCAGTCATGTCTGACTCTGGGGTGTGGTGCTCATCTCCATTTCTAAGCCGAAGAGCCAGCGTTGTCCGTAGACACCTCCAAGGTCATGTGGCCGGCATGACTGCATGGAGCGCCATTACCTTCCCGCCGGAGTGGTACCTATTGATCTACTCACATTTGCATGTTTTCGAACTGCTAGGTTGGCAGAAGCTAGGGCTGACAGCGGAAGCTCACGCCGCTCCCCGGAATCGAACCTGCGACCTTTCGATCAACAAGCTCAGCAGCTCAGTGCTTTAACCCACTGCGCCACCGGGGGCTCCACCGGGAGATGCTAGCGGGGTACAAATAAAGTTTAACAATAATAATAATGTGTATTATTATTATTATTATTATTATTAAAAGATAATTTGGGATAAACAGATAATCTGGGATAAATAGATAATCTAGGATCAGATCCTGGGATATAGAGCAGTGTGGAAGGGGCCTAAAACTGAAATTTGAATTATTACATTTGGCCTGGCCATAGGTTTTTTAAATGCTGTATGTTGCGATATGTTATTGTTATTGCTTATTGTGTATTATTGTGTATTTTCTGTTTTGAGTTTATTTTAAGTGTTTTGTATTGATTATTGTTATTGCTTTTGTTTATTGTATGTGTTGTGGGCTTGGCCTCATGTAAGCCGCACTGAGTCTCTTGGGGAGATGGTAGCAGGGTACAAATAAAGTATTATTATTATTATTATTATTATTATTATTATTATTAAAACTGTTTATTACTGATATACTTAAAATGAAGGTTTTTTCCCCGTGTTTTTCTTTTCTTTTTTTTCCCCTTATTCAGCGGCACTTGACACCTGAAGAGTTTCAGGAAGTTTTCAAAATGAGCATTGAGCAATTTGAGCGGCTTGCACTCTGGAAGCGGAATGACCTTAAAAAAAAGGCTTTGCTTTTCTAGCATACCACAGAAAAACGTGCTTGATAAAAACAACCTACACACTAGCCACAATTTTATCATGTGCACTTGCTGTTGACCCTTTATCCAGCTTCATCGTGTTTGGGATGGGGAAGCAGAAACAAATGTGGGAGAGGGGACAGTGCTTTTGTGTTGCCCAGACAATATCTTAGTCACTGCTGGGTCTCTAAACAATATAACAAACCTTGCTTTAATTTAAATTGCTGCTTTAGCTCTTGCTTGTTGCCAAAAAATAGGAAAGAAACAAGTGCCATTTTGATCGCAAAAGAAGTCACCATTTGTTGCACTAATAAGCAAAACGTGTAAACAATGAAAACAGAGATAAGAATGATCGTCCCCAGAATTTTTAGGAAAGCATTACTCTGAAGCAAATATGATAAAGGCCAAAGAAAAGCATGTTGGAAAGTCACTCTTGCCAATGTTTGTGTGTGAAATCTTTTTAGGAATAAAAGCAACCCTATAATAAAGCACTTTTAAGTCTCATTCTCTCACTTAAATACAGGCTGCTGTTTCAAATGTAAAGATGCAAATGAAAGAAATCAAAATTTTTATTTTAGTAAAAATAGATTGTAATATAAATGTGTTCAGACTACAACAGAGGCTGTTCAACCAACAACTCATGGTAGATAAAAAGACTTGATTTGGAAATGTGTGAACAATTTACTTTGGTGGAAACTTGCTTCCCGACTTTGGGTTATTTCAGCTGTAGTTCATGTTAAAAATTAAATCTTCACAACAATCAGTACATTCTTGTGTGGAAAAATCATAAAGTTGTGCAATTCTGATTGTGTATTTCTATTTTTTCTACATTTCATTCTGGTACAAAGAATGTGTAATGAATCCTGATTATATGCACACATTGGTGTCCACATTAAAATATGGTTTTGTAACTGAATGTTATATGGTTTATTACTGCAGTGTTTTCTTCACTTAAGGAAGTACTGTTTAAGGGTTTAACACCTTATTAGTAATATATACCATTTGCCTATAACACAGGTATGGGCAAACCCAGGCCCAGGGGCCGGATATAGCCCCTTGGGCTCTTTTCTCAGGTCCCCTCCCTTTCACCCTCCTATCCTTCCTATCCTTCCTTCCTTCCTTCCTTCCTTCCTTCCTTCCTTCCTTCCTTCCTATTGGAGAACCGGATTATATATATATATATATTTTTAAAAACCATGAATTCCTATGCACACTGCAAATACCTTATTTGTAGTGCAAAAACACTTTAAAACAATACAATAATTAAAATGAAGAACAGTTTAAACAAATTTAAACTTACTAGTATTTCAATGGGAAGTGTGGGCCTGCTTTTGGCTGATGAGATAGGATTGTTGTTGTTGTTGTGTGCTTTCAAGACATTTCAGACTTAAGTTGACCCTGAGCGAGGACCGGGTAAATGACCTTGGAGGTCTGTATCCAGCCCCCGAGCCTTCGTTTGAGGACCCCTGCTTTAGTCCTTCCTTCCTGCATCCCTCCTTCCTTCCCTCTTTCTCCTTCCTTCATACCTACCTACTAGGGCTGGGCGGTTTCGTTTCGTTAATTCGTAATTCGTTAAAAATTCATTATTTTTTTGTTAACGAAGCGATAATGAACCATTCTGGAGCAACTTAAAAACGAAATGAATTTTTCAATTCGTTTCGTAAATGCTTCGTATTTCGTTATGTATTCGTTTCGTTATTGGTTTGAGGTCGTTTCGTTATTATTTCCGCATGTCTGGGGCAAGTTTTATAGTTGTTTTTTGTTTAATTAGTGAAAAAAAATAATATCACACCAACAGTCAACAACAGAGGGAGAGGGAAGCTTCAGAAGTTTTTTTAGCGTATTGCGCGATCGCGGCCGCCATTAACGAATCGATTCGTTATTGTTTCGTTATTGTTTTGTAATTTTTTTACCATTTACGAAATTTCGTAAATATCCAACTTTTTTAAAGGAAAATTTCGGAATTCTTTTAAATATCGAAACGCAAAAAACCCCAAAAAACGAATCGATTTTAGAAACAATTTTTTCCGTTGTTACCCAGGCCTACTACCTACCTATTCTTTTGTCTTCCCTTATCTCCCTCCCTCCATTCTCTTCCATCCTTCCTTTCTTCCCGCCCTTCCTTCTCTTTTTACTTCCTCCTTTCCTCCTGGGGGATGTTTAGCTGGGAGAAGAGAAAGTGGAGAAGGGAACATAAGAACCATGATCCAAGGACCATATTTCAAAAAAGAAATGTCCCACTGAGAAAGGGAAAAACTGACTTTCTGCTAGAGACCAGGGCACATGGATCCAAGAACCATGTTTCAAAAAAAATGTCCCACTGAGGAAGGGAAAACCCGACTTTCTGCTACTCTAGAGACCAGGGCACATGGGAGCAATGGTTTCAAATGGCAGGGAAAGAGATTTGACTAAAAAGACTAGGAAGAACTTCGTAAGAGTAATTGCTGTTGGAGAGTGGCATAGGCTGCCTTGGACTTTGATGGAGTCTCCTTCTCTAGAGGCTTTTCAGCAGAGGTTACCAGGAGTGCTTTGATTGTGCCTTCTTGCATGGCAGGGGATTGAACTGAATAGCCCTTGGGGGACTCTTCCAGCTCTAGGATTCCATATCAGGAGTAGGCAATATGGAGTCTAATGAATACACTTTTTCTCTCCTGTCCATCATCTCATCCTGACCAAGGCTAACCCCTTTGGGATCCAGACATTTTCTGTCTTTCTTTCACTTTCTGTCTCCGAAAGAGAAGGGGAGGAAAGGACATGGAGGGGACTTGGGGAGAACCACCTCCCTCTTGGTCCACCCACCCCGCTCCGGGCCCATCATGTGGTCCAAGGTAGAAAGTTTGCCCATGCCTGCATAACAATATGTCTATGGATAACCTATTTGTTGATGAGCAGCCAATCAAAAGTTGAGTGATGAAGCCATGGTTGGGAAGAAGCTTTGAAAGTAGTCTTGTGTTGGCAAGGGTCACAATGCATGCACAGCACAGTGGAATAGTCCACTGTTAAACAAAATACATAGGCTAAAAATTAATAAAGAGTAAAGCAAGAAATTAAATACATTTAAAATTTCCACCCGAATCTTTTATTTAAAAAAAATCAACATATTCACAAGAGTAAGACATATAAAACCCACTGGAAATATTTACAACATAAAGAACAAAAAGGAAAGTAACATGCACCTTTGTGCACATACACATGTGCGCGCGCACACAGCAATCAGAGGGGCACAAAATGTGGAATGCTATTGCACCCATACAGAAACAATTTTGTTTTGAAGATGTCAATATTCATATACTGAAGCCAGATGAACTGAGCTGCATGAAAGCACATTATGTCTCAGTGGGGTAAATAAAGGAGATTTGAAGTTTAAAAGATAAACAGAACGAACTCCAACAAGAAAAGGCAGATCCAATTATAGAAGCTGAGTTTGACATATAGATTGGATTATTTCTCAAAGGGGAACTAGAAATATATCTCATCTGTATGGTTCACCATCCAGTTTTGCCTTCAGTTAATAGTGTGAGGCTCCTTCTACACTGCCATATAACCCAGATTATCAAAGCAGATAATCCACATTATCGGAGTCTACACTGCCATATAATCCAGTTCAAATCAGATAATCTGGATTTTATATGGCAGTGTAGAAGGAACCTGAGTTGCTTGTGTGAAGTTATCCTTCATGTGAATAAATGTGACATCAAAGGATCCTCTTCCCTTAGATTCACCTAACACTCAAATCACAAATGCACACTTCTGTGTCCAAAGAAAGACACATTAGCAGCATGTTTCCCAGTAGCAGCGCATGTCCTCTCAAAAGTACAAACTTAATACAGTAGACTCTCAGTTAACCAGAATTCTAGCAAGTGGAATTTCAAGCAACCAGTTAGAAATCCAAGAAATAATAAATAAAAACTAAAAATATGTATGTAATACAGCAAAACTGTGTCTTACTTTCTTTACCTTAATTTGATTTTAACTACAGTATTTCAATATTAGTATCAAGTCAATACCAAGTTTATGGCATAGTATGAGGTATAGTATTAGGCCTATTTTTTAATATTAACTCTCAAGCAACCAGAAACTACATTTATAGAGCTTCTACTAATCCCCATAGGGGACAATTAACTGAAAGTCTACCATACTAGTTTTTTAATGTGTTAACTTCATGACACCCCAAAGATTACCAAGAACTATGGCTTAGTAGGGGAGATACCTCTAAAATGTCACACAGAAGGTCCCCTGCAAAAAGGACATGTCATTCCACTAGTTTAGGTTTGTGGTGTACATATCACCACAACTTGACCCATCTTTCCCTTCACTCCCTGAGCAGAAACAGTAGAAGAAGCCACTAGTGCACACGGAGCTTCTCTGGAATGTAACTTTCACAGACTAAATTATAATATATTATCATTATGCATCTATAAAAATATATCCCATTAATGATAGGTTCAATCTAAATTTAGGAATGTGCAACTTGACAAAAGAGTCAGAGGAACCAGTCAGGCTATGCAATGGTAAAGTGGGATCCCTTGAAACTGGGGACCTTGACATACAGCCATAATCCAGAATATCAAGGCAGAAAATCCCACAATTTCTGCTTTGAACTGGGTTATCTGAATCCACACAGCCATATATTCCAGTTCAAAGCACGCCTCTAAATTCGGACTCTAACCCCAACATATACAGTACAGCGAGATACATTTGTATGCATGATGCTCATAATATATATGGAAAATTAGCCAAAAGAAACCCCCGTTAAATACAATCAATAAATATTTGAGAACTATTCAGATGTTTCAGATATTATAGGCTTATATTTTGTTTTAGTTTTCAAAGTATGTTTTAGTAGCTTTGGTCTGTGTTCGTACTTGCGTATGCTAACAGCTTCTCACACTGAGAACTTGCCATACATTTCCATTTCATAATAAAATAATTCATTACCAAAATTCAAGTTAAAAGGTAGTCTTGCCTCTTTCTATAGTTAGACTTCATCCCTTCAAAAACAAAAAGGACAAGGCTAATGGATTATTGCCACCAGCAAAGAAATAGTAACTGAAACTCCAATTATGACTCATATATATCACTGTACCTTTAGAAGACAACAAAATATTAAATTTAATATACAAGAGGAATGCAGAAAGGTAAGTACAGTAGAGGGGACCACTGTTGAGAGGCCTTCAGGGTTGGCCTGAGATGGTTGTCCTTTGTCCCAAAAAACAGTAGACTTGCAGACTGTGAGGGGCATGTCTATCACTGAAGATTAGCCCTTGAAAGAGTCTTGTATGTTCTTCCCACATTAGTTGTCCTACATCTTGGCAGCCACAAGATGTCCGTTCATGTCTTCAAAGTCGTATAATAAAAAGGGGCCAAAGGCATGCAATTTTTTTCACTACAACTCCTATGGCCTGTTACAGGGGGAAAATAATATACACCCCATACTGACAAAAATATAGCCAATCCTTCACATTCACTGGAGCTGGGGGCACAAGAGCCCTGTAACAGTGGGGGGGGGGGGGAAACCCTTAGGAATATTTAGGTCTTCCAGCAGAGCTCTGTGGTCAACTTCTGGTGGAATTTGACCATAGTTTCATGCTGAAGGACCTAGAGAGGCCTAGATAGATGTTTAGAGCACTGGTTCTCAACCTATGGGTCTGCAGATGTTTTGGTCTTCAACTCCCAGAAATCCCAGCAGCTGGTAAACTGGCTGGGATTTCTGGGAGTTGTGAGCCAAAACACCTGGGAACCCACAGATTGAGAACCACTGTTCTAGAGATCTCTAGGGCCTCCAGTGTGATTTATGTTCAACTTCTCTTGGAAGTTGACTACAGTTTCACTGGGAGACCTAATAGATTTCTAGAGATAATGTTTCAATTAAATCCACAAAAGTCAAACCTGCAAATGCAGTGGGCTAATTGTATTGGAATTGTAGTAAAAAAAAAAAACCCTATGTTTCCAGGTTCTGGCCTGCAGTCCTTGATTTGTGAACAATGAGTGAACATATCATGTTGCAGCGTCCCATTTACACAACACAATTTTCAAGTAGTACTTAATAAAAAAAGTCTTCAACACACTCACCAAATATTCTGACAAGCATGGAGCACATCAAGAAAACATGCTTTTCTTTCCAGAGTCCCACTTTTCTGAAAACATATTCAACCCTGAAGTGGGAGAGGCATAATCCACCCAGGATCAGACACCTGTCTGCAAAGTGACTTCTCTTCTCTTTGGTATCCTATCCTATTCTTTTTACAGTCATAGTCCTTCTCACCTTAAAACGTCTGTCTAAAACATCTGCTCTGGTTCGTTTATACATAGAAGCATCTTTTTACATAAAAATAAATATTTACAACTCATGTGACACATAAATAAATACACTCTAGAAAATAAAAATATTTTGATTGTACAAAAAAGAGAAGGAGTATCCATTGTATCATTACCCCATTTCCCAATCCCTCCCAATTGATGAAATAAATAGATTTAACAGATCTTTCCCGGCAGAGGAAATCCCACGTTGTGGACACTTTCAACACTCACAGTATAGAAAGTTGTCTTAACAAAAGAGGAGCTGCTAGCTCACGTACAGAAAAGCATTTTTCCGAAGCTGTTAATAAACAATACAGACATAAATGCGTTAGCCCCTGTGTAACAATTCAACATGAGTGGAATAAAAAAAAGAGGAAGAGAGAGAGAAAAAACAGCAATATTTCTCAAGTCTCTCTAGATGAGTGGCAAAATGGAGCAAGTTGGGAAGAATGAGGTTAGATTTGCCATAACACCTTCAAGTGATGGAAGCAGGTAAAGGCTCCCTACCCATTTCATAGTTTAGTACTTTGCAAAAGTCTTGGCAGACACAAGGAACTGAGAGGGGAAATGAAAAAATAGCAGCAATTTAAAGGTTATAGCGGCTTTTCCCCCATGAGGATTAACCTCAATGACAAGCAGGTGTCAAGAACAGAGCCTTTTAAACGCCGGCGGCATCATCTTTTGCAGGCTGTATGCTTGTCAATTCCACCATTGAGTTCTTTTCCACAGGAGGTGAAGCAATACCGTCCTCTGTTCGCCGCTCAAATCCACTAGAGATGTCTTCAAAAGTCCGGCCTTTTGTCTCAGGGACTTTAAAGAAGGTGAAGAAGAAGAAGAAGACGAGAAAGACAACAAAGACGATGAAAACATATGGGCCCCAGTACAGCTGCAAAGAAAAAGAGAGAAAGAGAGATGGTTACACTTCAATAACATCAGATCTACATAAAAGTTCAAGCATGGCTACAAAGACAAGAATCATAAATTACAGCTATAGATCCCTTTTTGCTGCAGAGTGATAGTGCCCTCTGCCTCAAGCCACAACAAGGCCACAACAGTTATACTGCAACGTGTGCCCACATAGGAAGCTTTTGCAGAATTTGAGTCACATGAAAATCTTAAATGATGGCCTTGCTTTCCCAAGTACCATTCCATGGAATGATCCAATTAGAGCAGTGGTTCTCAACCTGGGGTCCCCAGATGTTTTTGGCCTACAACTCCCAGAAATCCCAGCCAGTTTACCAGCTGTTAGGATTTCTGGGAGTTGAAGGCCAAAAACATCTGGGGACCCCAGGTTGAGAACCACTGAATTAGAGGTTGTCTTTCACCTCTTTCCTCATATCTTCCCTCGTCTTTGAAATTCCACAATAGATGAAAGATGTAACAAGGTCGCATACGCACACACCGTTATAATATCTCTTTATGTGCCTTTGGTTGTTTCCTCAATATCTTTTGGTTTTCAATCTGTTGTTATATTATATTATAACAACAACAACAACAACAACAACAACATTATTAGAGACTACCCTCTATAACAACAACAACAACAACATTATTTAGAGACCACCCTCTGTCCCTGAGGGGACTCGGGGCAGTTTACAACACCTAAAGGCAAACATTCAATGCCTGGACAAATGCATTTTTTTTTACAATAATGCAATATAATAAACATAATAATGCAAGTGAACTTATTGTATAAAATATTACATCAAAATGAAAACCAAGATACAAAACAGTTTACACTAATCACATACTCAACATCAAAACATCTCAGATTATAAATACAACTAAAATAAATAGAAATTTGCTGGTTATAGTTGTTCTTGAAGTGTACCCAAGTGGCCACGAGGTACAAGTAAATCAGCAAATATTCCAATTGATTTAGATCAGTGGTTCTCAACCTGTGGGTCCCCAGATATTTTGGCTTTCAACTCCCAGAAATCCTAACAGCTGGTAAACTGGCTGGGATTTCAGGGAGTTGTAGGCCAAAACACCTACAACTCCCTGATCTAGAGGGTCCTAGTCCTCCTCCTCTCCATAAGCCAAAGTGCAAAGGTGTGTCTTCAAGGGTTTTTTAAAGGAGAGGAGGATGGGGGCATTTTTATTTCTTTGTGGACAGAGTTCCAGAGATAATGGAGTGATCAGGGAGAAGTCCCCCTCTCTCGTTCCCACCAACTGAGCTTGTGACGGGGATGGGACCAAGAGCAGGGCCTCCTCCGCTGATCATAATTTCAGTCACTGTATGCAAAAAACTGCACTGCCCAATAGTGTGCATGCCAGCCTAAATGCTCAAACCACAGTTCTTACACTAGCGTATGGGAAAAGCATGGCCACAAGGAAATTGGATGTCCAGTTTGAGAATCCTGCCACAGCCACCGCTGCTGGACGAGGGCCCTGGCTGAAGAGTTCAGACACAATAAACCAAGGGATGGGACCAGGGCCAATTTCAAACAAAGCAACGAATGCAAGAGTAGCAATAATGCTGATGTAGTTCATCCAGGTCACAGTAGCCTGCAACAGAAAAATGGAAAATTAATCACTTTGGGCATATTTATACAGAGGGCCTCAGCCACCCAATCTATTAAGCATCCAGATTCCCTGAACTTCACTGAAGACATCTTTACAAATGCCAGCAAGGAACAAACTATTCACAATCCAAGATGTGCAAAACAGGCTCTATTTTGCAAAACCGCTGACAGTAACTATTTCTATTGTTGAGATAAAGTATTTGGCTGAGAAATGTTTAGTATTTGTGATATTGCTGAGATTTTCCCCCAAGGTTGCATTGATTTTTGGCAGTAGAGTGCAGTGCTTGACTTTCACACTGACCTATATGAAGATCAGGGTTCTAGTGCTTCACATAATAGCTTCAACATCCCTCACTAGTCTAGCAAGGGCCATTTGGAATTTTGTACAGAATGTCTCCTGGGCAGGCATGTAGCCGGGGGGGGGGGGGGCTTGGGGGGCTTCAGCCCCCCCCCCAAATTCTCAGGGTGGTCCGCGAGAAGGCCTTACTGGTGCATTATTTAAACTGTTATGTTTATTCATATCATGATCTGATCACCATGCTCAATATATCCCATATGCATGGGGGTTTGGGGTAACGATACAAAAGGTTTGCTAGGGTGGATCCTCTCTCACTCAGACTTAGCCCCCCCCCCCAACCCCCCCCCCCCCGAAAAAAACTCAGTCCCCCCCCGAATCGAAATCCTGGCTACGGGCCTGCTCCTGGGAACACACTTCATGCACTCTTAGGGGAAAGATAGTCTGTCCTCATTCCCCAAAGAATGTCGGGAAATTGACCAAGATGGTTTTAGATTGTTTCAGTTTGTTTAATTATTCAGTGTTAGTCAATTCTTCGATGCCTTTTTAGAACATTTGAAGTACTTTTATTTTCCCCCACAAATATTATTTCAATTGGTTTTAGTCTTCGCTACCCAGAAATGATATGATATAGGGCGGGATATGAATATCTTAATATATCAAATGATGTCACACCATTCCTTTGAGGCACTGAGTCTGAAATTTCAAAGGGGACACTCCCAGACTGTTGGGGACAATCAAGCTGTCTCTTGAAGTGTCAGCAAAGCTTTGTTTGTTTTTAAGCAAAAAGCGTGCTCAGACCAAGATAGCATGACTAATGCTATCTATGATCTGATTACAAATTTAGGTTACTGCAATGCATTATACATGGGCCTGCTCCTGAGCTGGGTTCAGATTAAGTCTGGTCTTGAAACAGTTTGCTGGCTTCTTCTAACCCAAGATCAAGAAAAAGGTTTTAACCTTTTAAAAATAGGTAATATAATATAATATAATATAATATAATATAATATAATAATATAATATAATATATATTTCTGATGTTTTGCTTTCCCATAATATTTCATTAGGCTGTAAATTTCTCCTGCTGCTACAATGCTGTGCTGCTTTTATACTTCTGATTAATATATGAAATTGTTCCTGCTACAATCCTATGCCAGCCACTCTGACAGACAGTCATCTGATATGTCCTCTAAACAAGAAGTAGCATGAACTTGCACTCATACCAAACCCACCGGAATAATTGTATTGATTGGGGGGGGGGAGGAGAAACAAATGTATTATATGTTGTTGAAGGCTTTCATGGCCGGAATCACTGGGTTGCTGTGAGTTTTCCAGGCTGTATGTTCCAGAAGTATTCTCTCCTGACATTTCACCCACAACTATGGCAGGCAACCTCAGAGGTTCTGAGGTCTGTTGGAAACCAGGCAAGTGAGGCATGAAGCAGTCAGGCTTTGAAGCTGCAAGGCCTTTTGATGCTAATCAAGGTGGCCAATTGCAACATTCACACTTGCCTCCAACAGACAAGAGTTCTTTCTCCCACCCTGGACATTCCACAGATATATGAACCTCACTTGCCTACTTTCCAACAGACTTCAAAACCTCTGAGGATGCCTGCCATAGATGTGGGTGAAATATCAGGAGAGAATGCTTCTGGAACATGGCCATACAGGCTAGAAAAATCACAGCAATCCAAATGTATCATGGTATAACCTTTTTTGCATCCAACAGCTGTAAGTAACTCTTAACATGGTCCGTAAAATAGTATTTCTTGTTCTTCTTCATAGATATATTATGCAAGAGACCTTTTCTTGTATGTCACATTTACTTCTGGCACACAACAGCTTCCTCCACAATTCATTTGTGAGATGTTTTGCAATGTTTTGTTATGCATACACATAAACACTGGCACAGACCCCCTTCCCATGCAACACTGTCTAGCTGAATGACTTAATCTCCTGACCTGAGACAGCCCTGATATTCTAACTCTGCTCAAGGATAATTCTGACAGCTTACCTTTAATGCCAAGCTGAGGGTCATGATCGCTGCACAGACAGCCATGCCTCCCAAGCCAATTAAGTGGAGCGTCCTGCGCCCTGCATGCTCCACAAGGAAGAGCTGCACCATAGGAGAGAAACAACACATTGCTTTTGCCAGGAACTGAAAGTAGGGATTATCTCTCTTATAGCCACCAGTGTCTCTTGTCCTTCCTTCAACAAGCCTTGTAGGTTTAATGCAGTTTATTGAGCTTGGAAAGCAAGATGATAAAGCTTGCCGACCAAAGAGATGTTTCTAAAAGATCTTTTTCTTTTCTTTTTGTGAGCTTTACAGAACAACACCAACTACTCTTCTCCCCCCTCCCCTCCAACACTGGCCATTTCTTCCAGTCCCTTACATTCGGAGATATACTGGCTCTGAGGCTCCATTTAGCTGTGATGCCCAGTAGCAATTAATAGAGAAACAACACATTGCTTTTGCCATCTTCTAGGGGCCCTTCCACACAGCCCTATATCCTATAATATCAAGGCAGAAAATCCCAGAATAGCTGCTTTAAACTGGGTTATCTGAGTCCACACTCAGATAATGTGGGATTTTCTGCCTTGATATTCTGGGATATAGAAGGGCCCTAGGACAAGGATGTCAAACTAATTTTCACTGGGCCAGAGAGGGGGGGCCAGGGGACAGTTCTATCTTGTCTCTTGTGCTATGCTAATAATATAATATAATATATTGTATATACATATAATATTATAATGTAATACAATATAATACTAATACTAATAATAATATATTATAATTATACATTTTATATTACATGTAATATTACTAATAATATTACAATATAATGGTATAGTACAATATAGTAATATATAATACTGATACTATACTATGCTAATAATATAATATATTGTATGTATGTGTGTGTGTGTGTGTGTGTGTGTGTGTGTGTGTGTGTGTGTATCTTGTAAGCCGCTCTGAGTCCCCTTTGTGGGGTGAGAAGGGCGACATATAAATGTTGTAAATAAATAAATAAATAAATATCAGCCTTATTGTTGCCTTCAAAGGGATATTCCTTATTGTAAGGCTGTATAAATGTAATTATGTTGCCCTGGCATTGAAAGCCTCACGAGCCACATAAAATGATATGGTGGGGCAGATTTGGCCCGTGCACCTTGACTAAAACACGTGCATTCTAGGAGTTTGACTATATGTAAAGACTCTGGAATTTCCTGTGATTCTGTCTCTCAACTGCCTGAAATTTCTTCTCCCATGTCCTCAAACGTTACCTGTCGTTTCTTAGGCCCCTTCTAGACTACCATATAAAATTCAGATTATCTGCTTTGAACTGGGTTATATGGCAATGTAAACTCCTATAATCCAGTTGAAAGCAGATAATCTGGATTATCTGCTTTGATAATCTGGATTGTATGGCAATGTAGAAAGGGCCTTAGTGTGAGAATGCCAATCATTATGAAGAAGAAAAGCCACCTTGCAAATATTTCATCTCTCATTCTCTGCTACAAAAGTACGTTAAACTTCAGCAAGTTTAAAGCATGGCCTAATTCCAGAAAGAGACACTCCCAAGTTTTAATCAGCTACCCAACTGATTAAATCAATATCTGCAGTCCTACATGATATAACCATGTGCTCCAGGTCACCTTGGTTAAGAGCCCAAGCTTAGTACCCTCTAGTTGAAGGTGGCATTTCATTATCGGGGAGGAATGCAAACATGGGCACTATTCATTTACCCCTCACTTGACAGCAGCATTCCACCTCCCAAGGTCTAAGGATCTGACTCAATCAGCACTTCCTGCTGATATGGTTCCCAGGTGGCTGAGCAGAAGGAGGAGATAAGGCCCTAAATTCTTTGCAGATTTAGACCGGCTTAGGCCTGCTTTGCTTTGTATATTGCATTTAACCCAATGGCTCTAATCTAGAGAGGATGCAATGGAAGGCACTTTGAAAAAGATTATTTTTTTTCAGTAGTAGCAGAGAAGGTAAGCAAGCGCATGCTTGCCCAAAACATGAATGCTGGTGTCACTTTATGGAAACATACCATCCCATTCCAAAAACAACTTGGAGAACCTAATATATGCTCAGTAATACTTACCGATACTACTGTGAAGACTGTGTTGATGACACCAGTGCCAATGGTCGCATAGACAGGCTCTTTCACACCAGCAGCTTCAAATATTCCAGTTGAATAGTATATCACCTAGAGGGAGAGAAATGTGGATTTCCATTACTCAAAATGAAAGAAAAAAGAATTGGATCTTAGCTAGCTGGTTTAAATCACTATTACAGCCAGGAAATGCTGCTGATATAGAAACATCAGCCCCAACTACACTGACCATTTAATGCTGTTCAAAGCAAGACTTAAAATTGCAACATGCAGGTAACATATAAAGGGCGTTCTTTTGTGTATTTTATTTCCTGGTATTGTTATGTTTTTATTGTATGTATTTTATTTTCTGGTATTATTATGTTTTTGTATTATAATGTGTTTACTGTACTGATGAGCATGGCCTCATGTAAGCCGCACCGAGTCCCCCTGGGGGAGATGGAGCGGGGTATATTATTATTATTATTATTATTATTATTATTATTATTATTATTATTATTATATTGTGCACAAAAAGCTGCCCTTTGTGTGCATCGGGACTCTGTGGTTTGCATAATCACCATCAAGGCCTCAAACCGGTTCCAGGATTTCCTGTGTAATCATATGCATGGTGAAACCACTTTAAGCAATATTGGTTTGAAACTGCTTTAAACAGTCAGTGTGGATATGTCCTTCATCACAGTACAGGATGTTTGATTCATTAGAGAAAATCAATGCAGCAAGTAGTGTATAAATATATTATAGATTTTTGAAATTGGCACTTATCTGGATGGACAGTGCCTGTTATTTTTCTTTATTTGTTATAGTTTGGCTTGTAATCCTTAAAAGGCTTAGGGCCCTTCCAGACAGGCCCTATAACCCAGGATTTGATCCCAGGTTTTCTGCTTTAAAGTGGATTATATGAGTCCCAATTGCCAGATAATCTGGCGGCCCTTCCACACAGCCCTATATCCCAAAATATCAAGGCAGAAAATCCCATATTACCTGAGTGTGGATTCAGATAACCCAGTTGAAAGCAGATATTGTGGGATTTTCTGCCTTGATATTCTGGAATATAGGGTTGTGTAGAAGGGCCCTGGGATAAACAGAAAACCTGGGATCAGGTCCTGGCATATAGGGTCTGTCTGGAAGGACTCCTAGACTGATTTATTTAGATATCATGCATTCTTTTCTGAGGGTTTATGATTTTCCTGCTATATTTTTAATACTACTTTTTGTCAGTGTTCCGTGTATATTTTCTCACAGTTTGTATGTTGTGGTATTCTGTTTAGTGCTTTATATATCTCGAATCATTTGTTATCAATATTGACTGTATACAATATTTTGATTTTACTTTTCTGTTATATTCTTTAATATTCTTTGTTTTTATGATATTCTATTTTGGTTTATGGAGCCCCCATGGTGCAGTGGGTTAAAGCACTGAGCTTGTTGACCGGAAGGTCGCAGGTTCGATTCCGGGGAACAGCATGAGCTTCAGCTATCAGCCCTAGCTTCTGCCAACCTAGCAGTTCGAAAACATGCAAATGTGAGTGGATCAATAGGTACCACTCCGATGGGAAGGTAACGGCGCTCCATGCAGTCATGCCGACCACATGACCTTGAAAGTATCTATGGACAATGCCGGCTCTTCAGCTTAGAAATGGAAATGAGCATCACACCTCAGAGTCAGACATGCCTGGACTTAATATCAAGGGACAACCTTTTTATTTTGCTTTATAATTGCAGTGCTTAAAAGTAGAGAGGCAATTGTATTTGGTAGCATTCCGCCCCTCTTTAGGCGTTTTCTCTATGAAACTGCAACTGTGTGCACAAAAGATTTGGGCTTTCTGCAATGGGCCCTCCCTATCATTGCCCACATAATCCTTGTGTTGGAGGGAGGCTTCTTCTGAAATTTATGATCTGAGCTCATAAATTTCAGGAGAAGGCAATGCCCATATTGCAGGCTCCCTTTTACAGCTCTTGTTCCCAGCATGTGGACCGCCTGGGGCCAGGGAGGAAGGAGAAGCCTTATTATCCCCATTCCATTCCATTTAATATCAAGGACAGGAATGCAAGAATAGATCTATGTTGTCCACATAACCAGTCATTACTAATATATAAAGGAAAGCAATACAATTATCATAGCATTTCACTTACTGAGGGAACCCAGCCTCTTACGTCTACTCCACCAGCCTGCCACTCACTGTACCGAGCATTATCCTCAGCCTAACCTGTTTTGCAGGTCTTTTATGAGAATTATTTTAACAAGACATTTTGATCCATCCATTCTCTTATACTTCTTCCTACAGAGATTATAGCTCTTTGGATTCTTTTTCCAATGTATTCAATTCTAGTAACTTGCCATATTTTTTAAGTGGCACTAGTCTTGTGCCCTTAACAGCTACTCAATTCACAGGCTTGGAGTGGTGAAAGAGTTGCCCATCTCAGAGCAAGGAATAGCTCTCAAGCTGGTATCCAAGAACAGATCCTGCAATTGATCCCTGCACTGGTGTAGTGAAATCATGAACTGCATCCAGTTTATAGAATTGTTCAAAATCATTTAAAAAGTTATTTTAGCCCTGTATAATCTGAAATAAATCAAGGGGAACTCAGTTGGATTTATTTATTTGTGCTGTCGAAGGCTTTTATGGCTGGAATCACTGGGTTGTTGTAGGTTTTTTGGGGCTATATGTCCATGTTCTAGAGCCTGTGGATCCTCAGATGTTTTGGTCTTCAATTCCCAGAAATCCTAACAGCTGGTAAACTGGGATTTCTGGGAGTTGTAGGCCAAAAACATCTGGGGACCCAGGTTGAGAACCACTGTTCTAGAGGCATTCTCTCCTGACGTTTCGCCTGCATCTATGTATAAGTATCCTCAGAGGAAAAAAAAAATACAACCCAAAAAAAACTACAACCCGTTTATATTCCGCCTGAAAAAAAACTACAACCCGTTTATATTCCGCCCTTCTCACCCCAACGAGGACTCAGGGCAGAGTACATGCAGCAAACATTCAATGCAGGAATAAAACCAACTATAAATATACACAAACATTACTCCCAGCTAAGGGCCTTCCAGAGAGGCCTTATATCCCAGAATTGATTCCAGTTTTCTGCTTAAAACTAGATTATATGACTCCCCACTGCCAGAGAATCTGGGATAAACATAAAACCTGGTATCAGATCCTGGGATATAGGGCCTGTCTGGATACCATAGTCAGGATAACACAAGTAAGAACACATCAAAATCTGTAGGGCGTTAGGAAGGGGCAGAAGTCAACAGAATATCACAAGGGGTGAGGGAGGAGGTGAGTTATGTCACATCCAAACTGTTTACAGTGCAAGGACACAACCGAAAATGCTGTCACAAAGTTAGACTGGGGTGTCCTCAACACAGACCAAGCTTCTGTTAGGTCATCTGGACCTTGACTATCTCAGAAAATTAAGATCATACTGCCAATATTTCATCTCTCTATTCCTAAAACAATTTAACAATTCAACCTCTAATGACCTCTACCTGGCATATAGATTCTGCTGGTGTATACACCTCTTTCAATAATATGTCTGGAGAACTGGGAGTGAATTACTGCAGTTGCCTAACACCCAATGATCTTAATGCACCATCCCTCCTTTCCCCTGTGGGATACCCCTATCTCTGAAAACCAGCCTCTCAGAATAAGGTACTATCTCTATTAATGCCATAGGTATTTAGCAGGTAAGAAACAAGCTCTTGGAATGGAAATAAACCTACCGCATTGATGCCTGAGAGCTGCTGAGAGAGCTGGAGTGAAATGGCAATGATAATGGCCTGACGGTAGCTGGGAGAGCGGAAGAGCTCAAGAATGGGCACTTTCTTCTCTTGGGACATCTTGACACTCTCCTCTTTCATTTCATCAATATCACTCGAAACGTCTTGGACACCACGAAGTTTCTGAAGAACTTAAAAAGGGGAATCAAACATCAGCCTTATGAGAGTCCAAACCAATGACACTTCTTAATTTATATCAGATGAGATGCCTCCCTACCTTTGAGAGTTTATATCTTCAAACCGATATTGTCCTAATTTTCTGCTCAGTTCTGAGAGGAATTGACTTTCAGCCTAAACCAATTAGTTATTATCACCAAATTTTAACCAAATCCTCTCAGGCTCCTTCTATACTGCCATACATCCACATTGTCTGCTTTGAGCTAGATTATATGAGTCTACACTACCATATAATCCAGTTCAAAGCAGATAACGTGGATTTTATATGACAGTGTAGAAGCAGCCTCATCCATCCCTTGCCATCCGGATTTCCTCTCCTCTTTCCAATTATTTGGGAGTAATATTAGGCTTGCCACCCTCTTTTGGAGAAGGGATTGCCATTGTATTTTGCTTTTGAAAAATCTATAAACTACCCTGATCTATGAACCCATATTGAAGGCCTAGAAATGCTTCCAGTTATTTTTCAAAAAAGCCAAAACAAATTCAATAATCATTCCCACGAAGATTGTTCCCTGAGAAATCTATTAATAAGATGCAACTTCTTTCTCCACAACTACATTTCCACACTGCAAAGCCAAAACTTTGAAGTAGCACAGTAGGTGTTATGAAGTTTTCTTCATATAAAAAATTCCAGTATTGCAGCTTTTAGTCATTTTGACATCAGTCATGCTAATGACGCATATTTTTGAATATTGCGAAACATTTACTCATTGGCTCGAATCCTGTTGATTAATCCCAACTAGAATAGATCAACTGGAGCAATTGTTGAATTGTGAGTCAATCAATACCTAACTCTAATTGATTCAGTGAGTCTGCTTTACTCAGAATTAAAAATAGGATTTAGGATGTTATTTCCAAATGTTTTTGGAAGACTCCAGGAAATTATACTGGGGACCTTTGACATGTCTTATATTTTAAAGTAAAACATCAATAACACATTGCTAATTAATAATGCAGCACATTATCGCAACTGCATAGCATATAACAAAATTAAACTATTTTACACTTTTATCTAAATTAAAACTTTCTTATTTACAACTTTCAATCTAAAACATACCCAAAGCACTGTATTTTGAAACACTGTCCTGTCCAAGTATGATAGTAACCAGACAATTCTGTTTAAATAAATGGTGGGAATCCATTACTGACTTTCACAAGTGGTGGTTGGGAGGTAATAATAAAAAGTACAGTATTTATACTCCAGGAGGCACAAGGGTGGAGCCCCTGGTGGCGCAGTGGGTTAAACTGCTGAGATGCTGAACTTGCTGATCGAAAGGTCAGCAGTTCGAATCCAGGGAGCAGGTTGAGCTCCTACTGCTAGCACCAGCTTCTGCCATCCTAGCAGTTTAAAAACATGCAAATGTGAGTAGATAATTGGAACTGCTTTGGCGGGAAGGTAACGGCGCTCCATGCAGTCATGCTGGCCACATGACCTTGGAGATGTCTACAGACAATGCCAGCTTTTTGGCTTAGAAATGGAGATGAGAACCACCACCCCCCCCAGACACAATTAAGACTTAATGCCAAGGGGAAACCTTTACTTTTAGGCATAAGGGTATAGTGGCCCTAACACAAAAATATGTACTGGCAGAAGGGAATTGAGTTGCTTTGTAATGCTTTTACTTTGTACTTACCTAATTGTGCCTTGTCTTCCTCCTTCTTGTTGATCAGCAAGAAACGTGGGCTTTCAGGACAAAATGGCAGCAGTATACATTGGAGGATGGATGGAACAATGGTGCAACCTAATAAGAGTGGCCATAGAGTTTCTGTTCCCATGATGACGTTTAGGCCAAAGATCTAATTGTAGAATTTGATGGAGAAAGACAGACAAGAAGGATCAGGAACTATTCTTGTATATTGACAGTTGGCTACAGTATGTTTAAATTTGGATGGCATCTGTTTTATATCATTTCAACTGTCATCACTTCCTGCATGAATCCCCAAGAACTGTAGTTTGCTGAGGAGCTGCTGATTCTGTTATAGATCTCAAGTTTCTCTACAGTTTTTTGACCAGGGACCATTCTCCAGCATCAGTATCAAAAGAGTTATGAATCAGTTTTTGGTCAACTTTACATTCAGTTTGGTTATTTGGGGTGCTGATTCAGAAAATTGCATTGGATAGACCACATCAGCTCTAGTTTCTGATACAGAACATATGCCATCCAGTAGTTGCCATCTGCTCACCTACAGAAAACCATATTTAATATGCCTCAGCATTATAAGAGGATTTCATGAGACCAGTCGCTCTTGTTGTAGAGGTGTAGTAACGGTGAGGTTGCAGATCATATTTTAGTTCTTGCGGACCACAGGCTGGGAACCATTGCTCTACAGTGATCTATACTCCAGAGATAGGAGATTGGCAGTTTGTATTAGGATAGCTCTGCTCAAATCCTCAACCATCTGACCCCATTTAACCGATTTATTTGAAGCATTTTAAACCACTTTTAAACCCGAAATGCTTTCAGAACTAGTGGTATCACTAGGGGTGTGCAGGGGGTTCAAATCACACTGAGTGACATCATCAGAAGGGGTGACACCAAAATGGCTAACCATGAAGTTTTTGTGCAAGGTTTCTATTATTTTTTTATTCAAAATCCCTGTAATTAGATATAAGCAGAAAAACATTTTTGTCTAACCAGTTCTTGTGTGTTTTTAACAGTCACAGGTCAACTGAGTTACAGGGACAGGATTATAGCCTCAGGCATTAACTACCCTTAAACACTAGCAATAAATCACAAAATTGTGCAGTTTTGCTGCAACTGAAGAAAAAGTCAGGCTTACCTGTGCCACCAAGATGCCCACAACAATGCCAAGCTGCTGGAGGGTGCCAAAAGCCCCTCGCAGAGCAGTGGGAGAGATCTCACTGATATACATGGGAACAAAGCCAGAGGTGAGACCGCAGAAGATGCCAATGACAAAGCGGCCAATAATGAACATCTCCATAGCCTTTGCCAACTTGCATAAGCCCATCAAAACGCCACCTATAATGGCCAGAATGTTCACCATCAGCATAGAGTTTCGTCTGTACAAGAGGAGAAAAAAAGCATTAAAATATAAAACCAGGGAGAAAGGAAACAACTAGATTGAGGATAGCTATATGCTTGGTTGAGCTACGGTGCCGGGGAGGGGCAACGACACATGTCCTAACTTAGTTAACAGAGGACTTGTGCTACAAGTGGAACATTCATGTACAAAAATACCTCAGAGAAGCCATATCTGCAGAGGTTGGAAAACAATAGTTTTTGAATTCCAGCTTCTATGATCCACTAACCAGTCAGCATGATTACTGGTTGAGTTTCTGGGAACTGTGCTGAAGAAAACAAGACTTCCACACTCATCTGAATATGAGGGCATGCAAGAGGTACTCCCTGGGAGACTGTGTTGGGTCTTCCCTTGTTCTGCTTTGTTGCTCTTTGTGAAGCCTCAGATCTCCATCTTAAAGCATCCCACCCTCATCTCTTAGAAGGGGATCCTTTGAGTTCCCAATGAATAGCGCAACCACTGGTCTTCCCCTTGTTTATGAATATTTTTTCCCATCCATTTTCCATCTTATCTCCTTCCCATGCTCCAAATAGAGGAGAATGCTGTGAAATTCCTCTTTCCAACATACCTGCCAAATCTATTGACAAAAAGTCCAACAGAAAATGAGCCGGCCATCCCGCCTATTGGAAAAATAGCCACACAGAGGGACCAAAGTGAAGTTTTGAGATTCTCAGAGATAGGTTTTCCTGTTCGATATGTCCATGTCTCATTGAAAAAGTTCTTGATAATCTGCAGAACAGTAGAAAACAGACATTGGATTAGAACTGTGTTTTGATGGTCACATAAGAACATTTTAATACCTATGAAATAATATCTTCTGCACACACAAAAGGAAAGGGGGGAGGAGAGAAAAAGCAAATCCGAATGGATTATAAAAGGATTAGTAATTTTATATAGTTTTAGAAGTATGTCAGAAAGGCACAATGTTTTAAAATTGCTGCCAAGGGGGAAAAATACTCAGATGTAAAAAAGAGACTCGGGATCCATTGTACTGCATCATATGAGTCTACGCTGATTATACAATGCGGTTTTTGGGCCACAGTCACATTGGCAGATCTGTGAGTTTGCTTCTCTGTGTCCTTGTGATTCTTTGCCAGTGGCTGTTTTCACATGTCTGCCACATTCCTTTGCCAATAACCATCATATGTGACAAAATAATACTAAATCAGAAGGCCTGGTACTAATCACTGTATATCTCAAAATCCCAATTGTTCTTGGCATCTTGGCAAAATTTGACTTTGAAGCATGTTTTCTAACCAAGTGACCTTAGAAGCACAACAAAGAGAATATAACTGAATGAAAGACAAGTAAGTGTCATCCAAAACTATCTTTCAATGCATAGAAAGCTTCTGGATAATAAAAAGGGGCCTTGGCTGGTGCAACCAGACATACAGAGGTAAAAAAAAGCTACATCTGTTGAAATTTTCTCTTCTACTGATCACAACTATTAGGGTTACAGGAATTCTGTATACTTTTGCATCTGAACCATCCTGATGAAACCGGGTACTAATGCTGGTTTTCTTTGATGTTGAGATTCTTGCATAGGCATGTCCTGTGTTTACCACCAGGTGGCAGCAGGGCATGTAAGCACAGCAGCTTGGCTCAGCCCTGTCGGAAATCCCGTCTAGTGATGACATCTATATTACGGGAACTAGGGTGGATGTGGTATACGTGAGTCATTCTTGAAAAGAAGCCAACCTACGCATTTCACTAGTCCAATCCCTCTTCCTCCAAATAATCTAATGGTGTAATTTCTAGACACATTATTTGGAGACCCCGCCCCCATAATGATATTCTTCCCTTCTTATTTTATCCCTTGCATGACTTTTTAAAGGCATGAAATAGGAAAGATGGGTAAGATTTTAACTGGGAAGACTAGTAATTCGCTAAAAGGTACAGACTTGAGTCCAATATATTGAGTCAGAGGAGAGCAACTTCCATGGGCCGGAGGACTACTCCTCAAACTTAGTAAAATGCTTGCAGCCTGCATATATTTTGCTTTACAGTTTAAAATGCCTAAAACCTTGTTACATATGCATACAATCAATGTTAAATTAGCTGATACCAAAACAAATTCAATCGCCATTAAACAGTTAAGTTCATTAAAATTTGTCCCACTGGTTGTTAACAAAACAATGCTTTCACTTATATGTGATTATTATTTTATTTAATTACTCAATAGTAATAATAATACTTTATTTATATTCCACCCTTCTCCATGAGGGGACTAAGAGCAGATTACAGCATATAAACCAGGGGTTCTCAAACCTTTTAAACAGAGGGCCAGATCATAGTCCTTCAATCTGTTGGAGGACCGGATTATAATTTGAAAAAAAAGATGAATGAATTGCTATGCACACTGCATATATCTTATTTGTAGTGCAAAAATACTATAAAACAATACAAAAATTAAAATGAAGGACAATTTTAACAAATATAAACTTATTAGTATTTCAATGGGAAGTGTGAGCCTGCTTTTGGCTGACGAGATAGGATTGTTGTTGTTGTTATTGTGTGCTTTCCAGTAGTTTCAGACTTAGGTTGACCTGAGCGAGGGCCGGATAAATGACCTTGGAGGGCCGTGTCCAGCCCCCGGGCCTTAGTTTGAGGACCCCGGAAATAAACAGACATAGGCAAACATTCAATGCCTTGTTACAATGAAATATGATGAGACACAAATGCACATACAAAAGCTTCATTTCCTGCTTTGGAGGAGTTTCTCCATTTCCAAGCTAAGGAGCCTGCATTGTCCATAGACACCTCCTCGTCATGTGGCCGAAATGACTGCATGGAGCGTCTTTTTGCCTTTTCCTGCCGGAGTGGTACCTACTGATCTACTTATACGCTGCAGAGGTACCATATTGATCTACTCACATTTGCATGTTTGCAAACTGATAGGTTGGCAGGAGCTAGGGCTAACAGCGGGAACTCACCCCGTCCTGTGCATTCAAACTGCCAACCTTCAGGTCAGCAATTCAGCAGCACAAGGGTTTAACCCACTGTACCACCCGCAGCCCCTTAATTTGATTTGTTCAGTATTACATTGATTTTTCACTATGATGCAGACTATTCTATGATCAACAATCAACTAGGCAGTCAATATTTTCCTTTCCCCATTGTCTATATTGAATGCAATGGTTTGCCTTAGGATTTTGACAGCAAATAGAATTTTTGACAGCAACAAGTTTTGGTGAGCATCGTGGGCTGCAAAATTAGATGCTATATGCAACCCATGGGTGATACTGCGCCCAGAATCCACAGTGGCTATGTTGATTGGGATCTATGGAAGATGTAGTCTGGAAGGCCATGTTTCCAAACCAACCAGATTGAAAGAGTACACAGTGTACATGAAGGAAAGCAGCAAAAATTGTACTAGGATGGAAGCCAATTACTTAGAAAGAAACAACTGAATAGGATTCGTGTAAAAGAACAGTTTTTCTCTGACTCAGATCCTAGTTCTGAAGACTTGCTCATGGGTTGAACATAACCAAGCTCTTCCGATGCTTTGAAAGTAGTCTGCTTCAATGTATCCCTAACCACTTATTGGATTCAAATCACTTTCTCAAAAATTACCCTCTTTAATATCAACTAAGCGGGTATGACCCAGTTTAACGGTTTTAAGTTATAAAAACCTTGATTTCAGTTGACTTTCGGAGAAACTTCTCAACTGAGAGCAGTTCAGCAATGGAACCAATTGCCTAGCAAAATAGTCAGGTCTCCCTTATTATCTTCAAGCTATCTGCTGGAGATGCATTAGCTGGATTTCATGCACTGAACTCTATGGCCAATGAGGCCCTTTCAAACTCCATGATTCCATGATTCTAAGAAATACCTCCGTATTTATTAGTTCGGAATCACCAATAATGCCCCACTGCCAGGATTAGTTTTCCAATTTGGTTGGACTGTCGGGATTAAATATGCATCACACAGCAGAACTTCAATTCTTTTTTCATCTGAATGCTTAATGCTTCCCTCTAAACTATCATTCTCTCCAAATCCTCTCCCTCTAACACACTATATGTGGGGGCTTTCTTTAAAAATTTGAATTGGAGCCAGTGGTATTTATTTCCTCCTCCTTTCTAACTGCTCCCCACTTTCATCCCCTTCACAGAGGGAAGTAATTGAGAAGGTTTAATCTTTGGGGGACTCAAACTGGATTCACATCTTCTCTCAAGTAAAGAAAAAAATGTTTAGGCACACAATATTCATTTTAAATCTTGGCCAAGTCACATTCTCTTGGCCTCAGAGGAAGGCCAAGGCAAACTATTATTATTATTATTATTATTATTATTATTATTATTATTATTATTATTAGAAACACAACAAGATGAGTCCACAGCAGACACTCTGCTGGCTGTTGTATTGGATCACATGTCGGACACTTCCCAAGTGTCTAGGACTGTGTGATGTATTGGTGAATAATGCGTCCAGATCAGTAAGGTGGCCTTTTGCAGCTAGTAGATGGTAATTTTGTCAGCGCTGATTGTATTTAAGTGCAGGCCAAGAGTCTTTAGGCACTGCACCCAGTGTGTCAATCCACTGGGACCACCTTTACTGGCTTGTGCCAGAGTCTTTGTTATCTTTAAATCCTCATATTGTGTCAGTTTTCCAGTTGTTCTCTATTATTATTATTATTATTATTATTATTATTATTTGTATCCCACTTTATCTCTCTAAAAAAGAGACTCAAAGTGGCTCACAATAAAATCAATACAAAATAATTTAAAACCTAAAAATACACAAACATTCAAATAGAAGGAAACATTAACAGGATTTTAAAAATAAACAATTAAAACCCTTAAAACCAATCAAAAACCTAAAACCATAGCACCCAACTTGACCTCAAAAAACTCCTTATTTCAAAGTCTGCCTGAAGGATAGCAGGGAGGGGGCCATTCTGACTTCCCTGGAAGAAGGGAGTTCCAGAGTTGAGGGGCAACCATGGCTCTCTTGTTCTCACCAACTGAGCTTGTAATGGAGGTGGGAGTGAGAGAAGGTCTGGACAGGTTTGTACAAGGATGTGCAATCAGCCAAATAGCCTGGACCTGAGCCGTATAGGACTTTAAATCAGCACTTTGAATTGTGCCTGGAAATAAATTGGCAACCAGTGGAGCTGCTGTAACAGAGGGGTTGTCCACTCCCTGTAATCAGCCCTAGTTAGCAACCTGGCTGCAGCTCTTTGGACCAGCTGAAGTTTCCAAACACACTTCAGAGGCAGCCCCAAGTAGAGCACATTACAGTAATCCAGATGGGATGTAACTAAGGCATGTATCACCATATCTAGATTTGGATTCTCAAGGAATGAACACAGTTGGCACACAAGTTTTAATTGTGCAAAGGCCCTCCTGGCCACCGAAGATCCCTGGTTTAATACTGAATCTAGGAGGACCCCCAAACTGAGGACCTGTGTCTTCAGGGGGAGTGTAGCCCCATCCAGCACTGTGTGGATCCCTATTCCCTGATCTGCCTTCCAAATGACCAGGAGCACATGTCTTGTCTGGATTAAATTTCAATTTGTTTGCCTTCATCCAGTCCATTACTGATGACATGCACTGGTTTAGGATCAGGACAGCTTCCTTGGCTTTTGGTGGAAAGAAGTAATAGAGTTGAGTGTCATCGGCATATCGAAGGCACCACACTCCAAAGCTCCGGATGACCTCTCCCAGTGGCTTCATGTATATGTTAAATAGCAAACCTACTCTAAACAAATGTTGGTAAGACACCCCTAGCAAAGGAAGAACTTGAAGACACACAGATGCAGCAATAGTTTAACTCTCCGCTATCAACACAAGAAATTGTCTGTGGCTTGTGGGTTCCAGTCACAATGATTCGGCACAACTCTAATTTTGGAAGAAAATGGTCATGCTGCATAAACACAATAGCCAGGGTGACACACATTCCAACATCAGATGACAATTGTTCTGTTTTCCTGAGAGAGAACAATGCTTTTCTGACCCACTTCTAAAAGGAAGGAATTTTACAATTCCACTGATAGGCAAAGCAAGTGATCATACACTGAATTTCACCCATTGGCAAACCCCACCTCCATCCCACAGACTCTGCTGATCATCCTTCAGTTAACTTCCTCTTATAAGGTGATTTCCTCAGAGATAAGTGCTTCAACAACTGGACTTGCAAATTAACATCAGTTCTGTAGTTGAGTGATTTAATTACAAAACAATGCATTCTAAGAGCAGTGAGAGCCCTTCCACACAGTCATATAACCCAGAATATCAAGGCAGATAATCCACAATATCTGCTTTGAACTGGGTTATCCGAGTCCATACTGCCATATAATCCAGTTCAATGTGGATTTTATACAGCTGTGTGGAAGGGGTCATAGTTCCAGGTGCACAGTAGAAGAAATCAAACGGTATAGCAAACAGACCTTTCCCCCCATTTTTTCTAAAAATGTGCTGATTTGAACAATTTAGTCTTGTGAATTAAGTCCATCTTTGCCTTCTAATGATCAGTTTCAAAACAAAGCATTCTGCATTCAAGATCCACACTCCCAGAAAATAATATGCTATGACATACATTTTTTTATTGAGGCAGCACCTTTTCTAAAAATGTGCTAAGCACATCATCTAACTTGATCAGTCTAAATTTAGATTTGTTCATGGTTTTGCTTGCATCTCCACAAATGACAGTTTTGTATTCCATGGCTCTCCTGTCCAACATCTGCTGTATCATTTCTCAACTTTCCTGACAAATCCAATTCTGTGCTTATCAATGAAACTTAGGTTTAAAGTCAACTAAGTGTCAATGTCTCTGTCTTACCTCCTCAGGAGCGTTGGTGACACCAATGTTGTACCCATATTGGAGAGGTCCAATGGCAGCAACAATCAAAGCAAAGAGAAGGGGGCAGGTTATCTTCTGTGGATGAACGGGAAGAGAAAGAATGGTTACTTCATTCACATTTTCCAGAAAGAAAATTACACATAATGTATCTCCTTTTACCATTTCTTAAATATTATAATAATAATAATAATAATAATAATAATAATAATAATAATGTATTTATTTATATCCCGCTTTTCTCCCTCATGGAACCCAAAGTGGCTTACAACATATTAAAATAATGTAAACAACAATCCAAATACGTTGATGCTAAGTATAAATCATAGAATAAACAGTTTAAACCAATAATATACATTCACATTCTTGTGGCATCATGTCAGATTATATTGCACTTTGTTCTAGTCCATAAACATTATGATGTTTCTTATTACTCCAGCTTAGTTTCCTTCACTAAAGGCCTGTCTAAACAGAAAAGTTTTTAATTGGTTCTTGAAAAAAACAAGACAGATCCATTTAAAAATGAAGAAATGCATATGCATGTTAGTAGCTACACAAAACAGCTAAATCTCCCATTTTCCACCCAATATCCCAACAGAGAAGTTAGAAAATGTATAATGCTCCAGAATATGTTCTCACTATATTCTTCTTTATGTATATTTCACACACATACATAAATATGCTTCTTGGGACCTAAAAGTTTGTACTTTCATAAAGCACAACTCTGACTTTCCCCCAACCAGCATGGGAGACAAAGAGTAAAGGATGTCATGGTTCTGAGCCAATGGGCTCAAAGTTTGAGTTGCTTGCTAACTTAGTACTAATGCAACCCAAAGCTATTGGGGAAGAGAGCAAAAATGACAGCTGGAACTTGTACAAATAAGGAAGCTCAGGGGTAGCAATACTGGCATTCTACTTCTGACCTGGATGCAGTTGACAAAATAGACTAAATGCATGGATTATGATGTCTAACTCCCCACTCTCCAGTGATGCACCAACATGTGCCCTACTACCTAACATACAAAATCACTTCTTCCTCCTGTTACCTGCCCTGATTTCTCTGACTGGAGACATATGGAAGCAAAGCAAGTCGATGAAACTTTGGCTAGTTCTCTGAGACCAGACCACCATATTATTCAGTGTTATTCCCGTAAAATGGCTGGTACCCTCCCCCAGACAACAACTGGTAAATTTCACATTTTGAAGGGCATTTTGGGGGACAGATGAATCACTGATAGCCTCTTAGCACATCTGGAATGCCTTCATGTTCAGATCAAGGAAGGCAATATAATGGAGGCTAATTAAGTATTCAAAGGCTTCTTGTTACTTTTTCCAGAGCTAGGATGAAATGTGGAAAAAATAATTTCCCACAGAACCCATCATGTCAGTTTTTCCTCCATTAAATATTTTTGAAATGCGACAATAGGGCCTGAGGGTGTTTGGAGATAGTTACTGGAAAGGCTATTTAAAAGATTGGTTTCTCTGTCCATCCCTCTTAGGGCCTTTCCAGGCAGGTCCTATATCCGAGGATCTGATCCCAGGTTTTCTGTTTATCCCAGATGATCTGGCAGTGCAGATTCATATAATCCAGTTTAAAGCAAAAAAAAAAAAAACATATCCTGGGATATAGGGCCTGTCTGAGTGCAAATTACCCTTCTATGTGCATGGGGAAGGGTAATTTGGTCACATTCTACAGCGATGTCAATTCAGGAAAGACTTTTCTTCAGCAAATCTGGCATTTGTGTGTTGATGTGTAAGATTACTTGCGAACTCTCTCAAGCTTCTTCTACACTGCCTTATAAAATCCTGATTATCTGCTTTGAACTGGAATTTAGGGCAGTGTAGATTCATATAATCCAGTTCAAAGCAGATAATGTGGATTATCTGCTTTGATGATCAGGATCATATGGCAGTGTAGAAGGGGCCTCAATTCACACTCCCTAGTTCTGTAAAAATTAAAGCGACTGGAGAGATGGGATAGGGTCTTCCTAATTAGAGAGATCCAGAAGAGTGTTTTGTATTTGATTTCTGGGGGTAGCTGCAGGCCTGTAGCGAGGGGGTGGTTTTAGGGGTTCAACCCCCCCCCGAAATGTTTCAGATTTTTTTTAAAAACCTGGTTCATGAATTTTAACTGGTTAACCAAATCCCCATGCTAAGTCTATGAGATGCAAGAAATTAAGAGTCCCTCCAGAACTGTAAGCATTATCTCAAGCAAATATTGACAATTTATTCACACTGTCATTACTTGCAGCAATAGCCGATGTAGTGAAGCAACCAAGTTGGGAGTGTGTGTGTTGAATGCTCTCATTAAGGAGGCCAGACTTGGTGGAAGTGATTGACAGGGGCAGAGCTGCAGGCTATTGAAGGCTGCTCTGCCCCCTGCTGTGCTCTTTGCTTCAGCATGAGTTAGGAGGCAGGTTTTAATCCCCCCCCCCCCGAAATTGTCAACCTTCCCCGAAATTTTTTTCTGGCTACGGCCCTGGGTAGCTGTGCTAGAAGAGCCAATGTGATCCAGTGGTTTGAGTGTTGAGACTGGGGCCCCTTCTACACTGCCATATGAAATCCAGATTATCTGCTTTGAAGTGGGTTATATGGTAGTGTAGACTCATATAATTCAAAGCAGATAATGTGGATTATCTGATTTAATAATATGGATTATATGACAATGTAGAAGGGGCCTATGACTCTGGAGACCACGGTTTGATCCATGGAAATGCATTTGATGTCACCCTCTCCCAACACCAGAAAACTCTGTGAAAGGGTTACTTCAGGGTGACCATGTCAGAATTGAAGGCACACAACAACAACAACAACAACAACAACAACAACAACAACAACAACAACAGTCCACTAGACTGCTGCAGAAATACCATCAAAGTATTCTACCACATTTTGAAATAAAACGCTATATAGATAAAAGTGAAAATATGTATGTATGTTTGCTTGTTTTGTAAAGGCTCCTACATGACTTGTTGGATCTGGATCAAACGTAGCACACACAACCTTTATGATAGAACTTAAAATACTAGTGGGTTTTCAAATATTAAAAATCTTTTTTTGGTGCTAGGATTACAAAAAAAAAAAATTAAATATGTGCAGTACTTGTATGAAGCCACCAGAGGGGAGTATATAGATATATTGATAGAAAGATGGAAAGACGGCAAATGGAAGAGGGCTAAAACATCAAAGGTGAGACAATGTAAGAATCCTTTTCAGTGGGTTCCCATAGCCCCTGTAGGATAGACAAAATGATATCTAGAAAAAAGCTCAGAAATCTACCCCTAGGAAGGGAAATTTACTCCTGAAAGAGTTATCATGGAGAAAAGGGGTCTCCATTGAACTTTAACATCGATCCTATTTCCACAACAAGTCAAAATTTTCAAAATCCTATGATCACAGGGACAGAAAGTGAGGTGAAATGCAAACACCACAAGGGTGTTAATACTTCCCTATGCTATCAAAAAAATGCATAATTTTGGCTAAAGTTACACTTAATAAATGTACCTGTTCTGACTTACAAACAAATTCAACTTAAGAACAAACCTACAAAATCTATCTTGTTCATAACTTGTGGACTGCCTGTATTTTGGAAAGGGCATGCACACCTTGCTCTGAGACTGAGAGATTGTCACTTCCAAGAAAAGACCAATCTGGTTAAGCCATGAGCCTCAGTAACCATAAAAATCGAAAAGCTTACAAAGAGTGTTTTTAACTAACAGTGTTTTTATACTAATTTATATCAAACGAAATAAATAAACTAATAGCATTGCAAAATGCATACATGGGTGTCACAGGACTCTTCTTGTTTAGGTATATTAATGAATAGATCATAGCTGCAAAAAAGAGGAGGACTAATACTAGTAATTATTACTAGATTATATGGAGGCATGTATGTTTGCAAAAGCTGATGTGTGTTTTGGAACACGCACTGAGCCCGAGTCAAATTTAGCAAAACATGAAAGGTGACCTAAAATATAGGAGTGACACTGGGGCCATTTTCACACAGCTGAATAAAATTCCACATTTTCTGCTTTGAACTGGAATATATGGCACTGTGGACTCAGATAACCCAGCTCAAAGCAAATGTGGGATTTTCTGCCTTAATATTCTGGGTTATATAGTCATATAAGAGGAGCCCCCGGTGGCGCAGTGGGTTAAAGCACTGAGCTGCTGAGCTTGTTGATCGAAAGGTCGCAGGTTCGATTCCGGGGAGCGGCATGAGCTTCCGCTGTCAGCCCTAGCTTCTGCCAACCTAGCAGTTCGAAAACATGCAAATGTGAGTAGATCAATAGGTACCGCTCTGGCGGGAAGGTAACAGCGCTCCATGCAGTCATGCCGGCCACATGACTTGGAGGTGTCTACGGACAACGCTGGCTCTTCGGCTTAGAAATGGAGATGAGCACCACACCCCAGAGTCAGACATGACTGGACTTAATGTCAGGGGACTACCTTTACCTTATAGTCATATAAACCCTGAGAACCCTTCCACACTGCAATATAATCCAGGTTATCAAATCAGAAAATCCACATTTTCTTCTTATATGAATCTACACTGCCTTATAATCCAGTTTAAAGCAGATAATCTGGATTTTATATGGCAGTGTAAAAGAGGCTAAGGGCCCTTTCACATATAATTCAGAATATGAAGGCAGACAATCCACAATATCTGCTTTGAACTTGATTATCTGAGTCCACACTGCCATATAATCCAGTTCAACATGGATTTTATGCAGCTCTATGGAAGAAGCCATACTTCTGGCTGTGTTATTTTTCCTATTACTCTCCTACTCGCAGACATTTTATTCCTTGTGAAGTTTGTGGTCTTAAAGAAATGAAAGGAGGAAGGTTATTTTATTGAAACAGTGTAAGAATGTTTTGGGGAAGAATTCTGCACCCAGTCTGAGTTAATATGATTCACCTTTCATGTATACACAGTTTAAGTAGTTAAGACATCAAACCTGCTGCTCCCTATGTCTGCTTCACCACTTAAGCAGTTGTTCTAATTGAGACAGAAGTACAATATCCCAAAATATCTATGCAAATGCCTTGGTTGTGAAAGATGAGAATCTCCCAAGACA